CCATTTTATGAAACTGAGTTAAAAACTACTCAAACTAGTATATTAAAAAGTGTTTTACTAAGATAACCCCTGGAGGATAACTATCTTCCGCTGCTCGAATATAGATTAATCTATTATTACTTTAATTTTAATAATATGCAAGTTAATTTAAAAATGAATAGAATAATATAAACTTAACTTTTTTTCCTTATGTATCATAATATCATAAAACAAAGCCCTATAAAACTACAATGGTTTTCAAATGTTTTATATTTTTTGTAAAAAATTAAATAAAAATGAAAATTGCTTTTTAAGAGATATTTTATTAATTATGACATTAGATACTTTTTTCATATAAAAGACTTTATATAATATCATAATATAACAATCTGCTAATTTAATTATTTAATTTTAAAATTACACATTTACAATAGCACTTAAAGATCATTAATATATGTTTATGAAGATGTATTTAGTTAAATAAAAGTTGTTCAAATTGTGTTCAATGTGAATTGCAGATCATAACAATTTGGTGGGTTTGCAGCATGCAAGGAGGGTTGTGACTTAAGCCAAGAGTTTGCTTTTAATAGAATTTTATGAACTTAAGTAAAGTCGTGTCCAAATCCCATGCAGCTTACACGCAGACACACATTCACACACTGAGATACATACATACACAAATGGTGAAGACTTTTTGACTTACGCAACAGCAAAAAGCTTTCAAAAAGGCTAAGACCACCCATCACACCGATGTATAGGACTGCAGAACGAGTGCGAGTATGAGTACGTAAAATGGCAGTTAATCGTGACCACGTAGCAGGACTATTAATAAAAGCGTCTTTAGCCTCAACATTCTGTAGACATCTTGGCCTACGCCGTTGTTGCAGCTCGATGCCCAAAAAACCAAAAAAAAAAAACAAAAATAACGAAAACAAAAACAAACACAAAACCAAGAAAGCGGCGCATCATTAATTTCACGCAGTACAACTGTCGAGCCTCAAAGACACACACACATACACTAACACATATGTGTGTTGCAGAAAAATGGCAAAAGGCAAACTTAATAACAACAAAATGGCTTTTGTGGCCGCCTGGGCCAACTCACTTTGCCAAAGGCAGCAATTTTGTAATTTATCATTGCACAAATACACACAGCTCGCCTAAACAAATACTCATATGCAATGGTGTGTGTGTGTGTGTGTGTCTTTATATGTGTGTGTGTGTGTGTATGCAGCTGTTGTTGATTTGTTTGTTCTTTAGAAATGAACTGTAGAACTGAAAGAAACCCGAATTGACTCAACTATTTAACCAGACCCTGGGACTTTAAATTAATAGTGTGTGCAATTTTAAAATAGTTAAATTTAAATAGATTAGCAGTCAGTCCATAAAACGTTCCTTAGTCTATCAGAAATTTAAATTGAATTTAGAAGCAACTAATTCGATTATGAAGAATTTATATTGCTATAAAAATACAACAAAAAAAGTCAAGAAAGTTCAATCGAAATTATTCCATTTTGGCTAAATAAATCATTTTGAATTTCTAAATATATTTTTAAAAAATAAATAAAATACTCAATCAAATGCGAGTTCAAATAATCAGACTAACATGTATATTTGTTATTTAATATGCTCTTTTACAATATAGTTGAATAATTCGCTTTTAAAGTAATTGTTTTAAGTTATTTACAAACGAATCAAATAGATGGGTTGGAAAAATTTGACATTTTTGGCAGCTGCATGTTATTAATGTGCAACTAATAACTGACAGAGGTCCAATATTATTTTATTTTTATTTATTTATTTGCTTTGTTTTCATCAATCCTAGTGTTTCTAACCAGTAAAAGTTAGTTGTTAAAAGAATTCCATATAGATATGCTGTTTATATATATTTTGAATCAATTATTATTACTCTTGTCGTGTAAAAATGCTTGTTAATTATATTTCCCTAATTTTAAAATGTATATTTTGCAAAACTAAGTTTAAATTTTTGGTAATGCATTTGAAAGCCTACTAGCTAAAACTGAAAATTTCCTATGAAAACCTCTCAGCACACATGTGGGTTAAGTGACTGCCTAAATATACACTCGGAAACCCCAGAAAGCCATACAAAATGTGTAACAAAACCGCTTGCAGCGTCGCACAAACAGATACAAAGAGCCGCAGCAAAACACAAACAAAACATTGCTTTGAAATTAAATAAATAACTGGCTCAAATTGCCTGAGAAGAGGCAACAAGCGAGAAAAAAGGAAAATGCTGAATGGAAGCTATCCAGCAGCGACACGTCAAAGTCAAGTCATTCACACTCATCACCACGCCCAACTCATACCTAACTCTACCCTAACTGTTCCTCTCGCCCGCTCTCACTCCTACTTTCTCTTTAAAGGGCATTGAAATAGAATTCCGTTCTAATTGACGTGTCTTTTGTCAAATGTAACAATTTTCGGCTTAGTATATGTATATATATATATATATACATATATAATATATAATATGGACAACAGGATATGGACAGCACCGCACGAGTGCACCTCGATTATGTGTGTGTGTGTGGGATTAAGATGCGTACGTGTGAATGTGCAAGCTCACTGGAAAAACTTACTTTCGCACGTGCTTTGTGGTTCTCGGACGCGCACTTGGCCAACTTGCTTGAGTTTGGCCCTAACCAATCTTAGCCTTTTAAAGTGATTGCCACATTTCCTGGCTGGTAGCTTGGCCATTTCCCACTCACTATTTTTTTTTTATATATATTTTTATTTTTGTCTGCTGCATTTTATTTTATGGATTTGATTTCCGCAGCACTGGCACTTTTTGTGCGACTCGTTTTCTAATTAGTTTTTCAAGACAATCGCTGCGCTTGAAAAGTTGGCCATGCGAGATGCGTTAAGTCCACTTAACAGACGCTTAACACAGTTGGTAACACAAGAGCAGCTGTCCTCGCTCGGGCTTATAAAAAAACGCTTAGGCTGACCCGCAAATCGTCTTCATCCTGTATATTTGCATATTGTTTTGTGCTCGTGCTGAACTTTAACTTGTGTCCGCAACAAAATATGTTGCATACTTTGCAGCCTTATGCAAATGCCATTATCGGGCAGCAGGACGACACAAGCACGACCCAGAGCTTAACCGTAAATAGAAATAAACATGACATATCCTGCACAGTTTCTCAACTCGCAGCTCAGAAGATGGCGTTAGAGTTTAAGACGCTGGTGTTGGTGATGGTGGTAGTTGGGGAGGGGCAGTGTCCGGGGCATGGCATCTTTTTTGGGGCACGCATATGACGTGCTGACACCAATAACAGCAAGGACAACAAACATGCAGGGCACATCCCATAGAAAATATGAAAAATGTAAAACAAAAATCTGGCAAAAACTTTTCTAATTTAAAACTGCCAACAAAAAAAAACAGTGTAGAAATAAAAGAACGACAGGAAACGCAGCAAAAGGGCGAAGACAAATGGTAAGAGGAAAGGCTGCCAGTGTGCAAGTTCATAAGCAAATCTTTATAACATTTATATACACTGCATGAAAGGTATATGGGTATATTAATAAAATGCCATTAACTTTATAGGCAATTTAATCTAACTATTTAAATTACTTTATTTATACAGTTTTTCTTCTTACGATATCCAAATTTCGTTTTTAAGTTTGTATGATAGTATTTCTTAAGTACACTGTGTCAATATGATGAAAAACGATTCAAATTGGATAATGAAAAGCCGTTAAAAAAATTGTAAGTGTAATAGATATTAATTTAATCTAATTATTCAGCTGGGATTAGGCATAGGGATTAATTTATATTTTGGAAGATAAATGAAAAAATTAAAGAAATAATTCGAATGTTTTCAGTACTAACAAACAGATTTTATAATTATTACTCATTGGGGTTAATAATAAACAGAAAATTTGGATTAATTTCCAATTAATTCGCAATGTCAGCAAAGCGTATTTAAAATTCATTTAACATGCTGCGATTCCTTACCAGTTTTATTCTATGACTTCTTGGAGAGAATTCAGTCAAGAAACTCGCAAATTATTTCGGTTGACTGCGGAGAAGTGAAAGTCCTTTGTTTTTGCTGGATGGATCCAGGCGGATTTATGGATGGGGTGGCTGACTGCACATGTTGATGAATGCGAGGCCAAAGAGATTTCAACTTTCTAATTTAATGCGGCAGGCAGACGGATATCATCAATGACAAAGACAAAGGGGAATGGTGAACGGTAAACGAGAGCCGAACGAACGAGCACACAACATAATAAATGATATTGCAAATTATTTGGGCAGGCCACGTGGCGTATGCGCATTGTCTGTTTGGCATCAAATGCTTTCAACTTTTACCATATTGTTGCCATAATGTTTAATTGTAAAAGGCATTAAGAGATGTCAGTTCTTAATTGAAAATTAAGACAGACAATAGTGAAGTACATTTGTTTGCATGTCTGTGTTTATATTTATGCGACGTACATATGTGTGATAATAAGTTGCTACGGCAAGAACCACAAGTTTGATATTATCAATGGTTAATAATTTACAGAAGTGGAAACAACCAGCTTGCGAGATATGCCATACTATTATTACGGTTTAGGTGAAAATAATATTAAAGCAAATTGGCAGCATAAATAATGTCCAGATTATATCTCGTTTCACACATTTTATAACTGTCCAATAAATTTTAGCTGTAAATTACCAAATGCAGTTTCCTCTTTTCAACAATCGTTGTGTATTCACTGTCTTCTTAATCGAAAACAGTAAATTCATTTAAATGACTTACCGATATGTGATTACTTTTTACGACCACCAAATAAGGATCTAGGTTTACTTTTATCGTAAGACCAAACACATTAAATATAGATACACATCATCATTCAAGCACTCTGCTTTGAGTGTATCGCGATGAAAGTTGGTTTATATCCCTCCTGGCTTATATGCTTCAGACAATTAATTTAATTCCTAAAATGAACAACTTTTTTGTTGCCTGTTATATTCTTTTATTTTCAACCTTATTTTAAATAAAAACCAAACGTTTCTTTATTTCAAAATCAATTTATTTATATTTATTATGCATATATGTATATTATGTGTATGCAATCATTTTCAATTGTCATTTAATTAATATAATCCTTTATTTATAATAGGTTTATAATATTGCTGATAGTATGACGTATTTGCAAGTGGCGAAGGGCACGTTTTACAATTTCAAATAAATTTGCTGCAATCCCCTTCGTAATTGTTAACTTTTTTGGCCGAATGTGACCCTTGACTCAAATTTTCCTCCATTTTTTTTTTACTTTAGAACGTTTCTTAGACCTTTTGGCACTTAATTAACCACCTGCCTGACAATGTCCGGCGGCAGCATGAAATTGCTTTTACGCAAAGGAATCTCACTGTACTGCCGGTCGACGGGGGAACGGGTGTCATAAAGTGAAGGTGATTGGCAGATGATGGCGCAGGTGCCGAACACACACGAGAGTGTAAACAACCAGAGGAAGAAGCGATCCAGGACCATGGACACAAATTTCCAATCCTCGACAATCTGTGAAGAGAAATAATAAAATCATTTGTGTAATGGAAAGCACTCACTTAAAACTAGGTCAGGACTACAGCTGCCATTTTTCATCAAACATAAAAGAATTTTTTAATAATGTTTTATTGTTTCAGAGCTCGTAAAACAGAGACGAGCAGGAGCGGCACAGACGAATGGAAAATTGTCGTATAGTGCGGCCAAATAAATTGCTTTCAATTGAAGCCATAAAATTTCGTTTCGACTCTCTTTCAATAAACTTGATATGTGTAATAAAAATATAAAGCTATGATTTTATATTTTACAATTCACATTGCACATTTGAGTTCATGTCTTTGTGTATTAACGCCGCCTCTCTCTCTCTCTGCTGCTGCTCTTTGTGGCACTTAAGCCGAAATTTTTTCAGGCCATAAACAATTCTTAGAAGCGAGGGGAAATCGCTGGTGAAGCACGCTGAGCTCCGAAAGACGCCAAAAATATGACAAGCTGAACAATAACAGTCGCAAATAATTCCAATACGAATACGAATGCGGATGCGTATACGATTACACAACGTTCAGCTTCAATCTGTGGAGCTCGCTGGTGCTCAATAAAAGTGGGCAACTAGAATTTGGGACTCGAGAGTGAACCCATACCTACCTCGTTATCCTTGTCGGCATCCTTGATATGCTGCGCAATAAATCTGACCGCGCGCAATGCCTGCAGCACTTCGGGTGTTAAGTTGCGCGGTATCACATTGTCGGAATCTGTCAAGTCTCGTGGCGAGCGCATGAAATTGCGAGAAATTGAAATAAAATATTGGAATCATAAATAAATGGAGATGCCAGCGCGCTAGCCCCCAAAGGCTACTGGCAACTCTAAATCTACAATTGAATGTGTGTGTGTGTGTGTGTGTGTGTGTGTGGAGTGTGTGTCACACATGCATAGAAAAATATTATGGCCAATGCGGAAAAATGCCCAACATAGCCACAGGCTGGAACAACATTCGTCGCTTTAAGTTACAAGCCATAGTAGCAATAACAACAACACCAGCACTGAATTATAGCTGCCAGATTTTATTTATGGCCAACTTTTTCATGGCAGGGCATTGGAGCACCTAAATGCAGCTTGTAACATTTATTGGCCAAAGCAATCAATTGAATGTCCAAATTTACATAGCAATCGAATACCATTTTCTTCGTTAATATGACGGCGACAGCTAGAAAAGAGTTTCTCTTTAGCTAAAATATTTTTAGTAAAAATAAAGAACCTAAAGAAAATTAATTAATTTTTAGATATGCTAGTAGATTTGGACACTTGGAATCGGATTAACTTTCACATCTAGTTTATTATTGAGAATTTTAACTGTATTCAATTATCACTTTGGAATTTTTCACAATAAGCCAATTTATTGATATATTTAAAAAGAAAATCAATATGTACATGTAGCTGATAAGAAAAAATAAGAAAAATAAAAATCAACTTGGGGAAATGTTTAAAAGTCAATAAAGACAAGATAATCAAGTAAAAAGCCACAACAAAAAAATTCAAAAAATTAGATCTTCTGAAGAGCGAAGAATCACTACAACGTTAGTCAAATGAATCTTGCGCTTTATACCATGTGTAATTATTCAACATTGTTATCATTGAAAAAAGATGTTCCGAAACTACACAGAATCATTTTTATTTATGTATAAAGGGTCCAAAGTGACCTTAGTTAAGTTACTACTACACGCTAGGTCATACAGAGTTCGTTCTCTCAGTTTTTGCAGTTTTCACACATGGCTTGTTTTATTATCCCGCACACACACACATAGGCACACACTCACACACATAGGCGTTGTTTGTCATCAAAGCGTCACATCATCGTCAAAGCTATCAACATTGTCCGACGACTGGGCGAAGCCTTGAGAATGCCCAATGGCAAATTTGTTTTTTTCTTTTTTTATTTGTCCTTTATTTTTAGCCATTTTATTGCATTATTTGCCAATTTTTATTTGATTTCAATTTCGGCTTTTGGATCGCGGTCGGCCGCGAGTGTGGCAAAATATTTTTGTTTTTATGGACAGACAAATACCCCCAGCATCAGCTATGTTTTTAAAAGGCCTCGTAGCCATACACAAATTTAAACTCACCCACTGAGTGCTGCATGCCATTATCATAAGTGCCATCCTGACTGTCCTTAAACTCGCTGGGAAAATCGCTTATGCTGTCACTGCAAGACACAAATAAAAAAAAAAAGCAAAAACATATTCAGTACAGTGAAAAACTAAAGCTAATGCTTAGATTGGTGAAATATATTCAAAACCTTACTATTCATGGTTGATGGTTGTCCCTTTCTAAGCACTATGAGTTTTCTTATCTTATTTATATAGGAAACTTGGTGCATACAATTGCTACGTTAACTTTTTTATTACTTTTAGATTTCAGATACCCGAAATACACCATTTTTGAAATATCTACTTTTTAGAAATATTTTTTATTATTAAAAATATTGTTTGTGAAAAATAGGAAAACAGCCTTTCCAATTGTTCGGAATCTTTTTCGTTTATTTAGAAATTATTTCTAAAATCAAAATAACTTTCATTCACCTCTTCAAATATGTTTATTTATTATACATATTAAAAATAATTAATTTGAAACTTGATAGTTTTTTTAATAAGACATTAAGTTGACATAAAATAAATATGTGGGAAATGTCAAAATTGATTTGCAACTAATATAGTCGGGATTTATTGAATTACAGGCCTGTATTTTTCTGAAGGTAGGGAAGACATATAGACTTACCGCACATCAATTTCGTTGGTATACCCATTGCTGGGTGTGGTATCATCGTAGTCCGGCAGTGTGTACTGAGTGCGTCGCATCATCATCAGTTTGGGCATGAAGTGCAAAAACAATTTGCGAACTAGCGGCGACATGTTATGCGTCGAGGGCGACCTGTTGGTTGAGCGCCGCTTGGTCAGATGATTGATTGATTGAATGGGTATGGGATGGGTATAGGTAGAGGGCAGAGTGGAATAGCTGCAGATCGTGCGGCACTTAAGGCACTCACCTGAAGTGTATGTTGAGCACACAGACCGTTGTCCAAACGGACAGCGATACGAGTATCATGGTAAAGAGTAGATATTTGCCCAGCAGGGGCACCGCCAACGACGTGGGCGGTATAATTTCGGCCAATAGCAAGAAGAACACGGTCAACGACACGAGTATTGAAATACATAACGTAACCTGTCAACGAAATGTTTACACAATTTCTCTTTCTCCTCTCGCCTCTCGTCTCACTCTGTCTATTGCAATGCCCTTTGTTTTGTAACAATAACAATGACAACAATGACAATAACACAACATAAACAATAACAAAAACAATAACGTTAACATGGACAACAACGGTTTATCAATCATTATCAATTATAGCCAATTACATATCAATTACGTATACTTCATGTAAAACAATAAGCCGACTCCAATAATTGATTTTCTGCATTTTTATTCAATTCAAATATAACATTTACTCAATAAAATAAATATAAAGCAAATACATCAAATTGGGTAAATGACATCGCAAATCGTGGAATCAGGCAAAGCACTCATACAAACTCTACACTCACACCAACATACTTGTAAACACACTCAATTTATTCACTCCCCGTCGAGGTAATCATATGTAGTAACAAGAACAATCAATACAACAAAAAACAAAGCGTTCTACATTAAAGTTTGAAAGTGAACCCTGATAGTGAGTTTAACGACCAATATCTTTCAAACGAAATATCTCCTATCTGTCCATTAGGAAAGTAGGTATTTAAATATGGTCGTAATGTAGCTGCTAAATATGTCTGCTTCTAGTTTTCACAGTTTTAATACAAGCATAAAATCGTCATGAAAGTGTAATTCATTATAAAAATTATTCTCAACTTTAAAAATAAAGACAATTTGAACATAATGCTTTATTCTTCTAAAAACCCTGCCAACTTAAAAACTTTTATCTTATAAAAATATAATTAAATATTTCAAATTAATTGGACTGCCAGGCAGACGGTATATTAATAATAATCAAATACAATTTTAATATTATGCTTTACTCTTTTATGTTACCAGCTTGCAAAATTAGTTTATGAAACTATAACTTGATATCAAATATACATGATAGACTTAAAAGTAATTGGACTGCAAGTTAGACGTCACCATGTACCCCAAGTCAATTTAAATTTCGAGCAGGACTATATTTGTTAAATAAGCTTCCTTATTAAACAAAAAAAAATAAATATGTATATATTTTATATTTTGTTTTTTCTTAACTTACGTTTGCAAACTTTGTTTGGTTCATAAGAATATGAATACATATTGCTAATTTATTACTCCAAGCAAATGAGCGATTCAAACGATCCAAAGAACGAAAAATCAACAACAACAACAAATAGCACACTTCGTTGTATTTTAGTGTGTAAGTGTGTGTTTGTGTGTGAGTAAATAATTGTGTAATGTATGCATTTTAGGTGCGTATAAGTGTGAGTAAAGTGTAAGAATTTGAATGCTCTGCTTAATTGCAGGATACACGATATGAGGAAACTTTTGAGTGGATTTGACTTGAATTCGATTCAATTGGACTTTGATTCGGTTTCGGCTTCGATTCGGATTCGATTCGATTCAATTTCGATGAAATTTACGTTATGAGATTTCACTACTCAGCACAGCACAAATGATATTCGTCGCAAATGGATGTGTATCCATTTTAATATATATATATATATATACTAAGCGTGAATATATGTGTGCTGTATTTGGACTGCTTGCAGGAATCAAAAAGCACCTGAAACTCAGCGACTTAAAGATTGATAAAGTACTTTTAAATTTAAATTGTCATTACTTTAATGTAGGATGTTTGATAAGAAATTAGGTTGAAAATGAGAGAGCGGTAGGATGAAAGTTAGACAGATCTTGTAAGTAGTAATAGTAAGTATTCTAAGTTGAGCTCTTCTTGTGAGTTTTGTGAATTTTGACTGTATTCGAACAACATTCGTTGCAAAGCCAATGTATATTAGCAAAAAATAGCTAAAGAGCTCAGCTTTTAAAAGTTAGAAGTAGCTGGAGTAGAAGTTGAGTAAATGATAGGATCTTTAAAGTGCATATGGGAATATATAAAAATACTTTGCAATATTTCGAGTGGTTTTCAGTGTTCTCAGTTAGTTGTATGTAGATAAAAATAATGAGAGTATCATTATAGAAAATACACCAAAAAATGCTTGAATAAAATGATACCAACAAACTACAAATAAATTAATGAATTATTTAAGTATTGAAAATAGTAAGTCTAAAATAATAAATTAATTTCAAACATCTTCATGTAAATACTTCGATATAACGCATGCCACATGCATAATTTTTGATCGGAATTTTCGATTTCAATTGCTGTTAAAAGAAATGTTATTTTAAGTATGCCTGAGCGCATCCATAGTCCAATTGGTCTTACCTTTTCGCCCGAATCGCTAGGCAAGTAAAATACCAAAACCGTTAGAAAAGTCAGGGCCACACAGGGCACAATCAAATTCACCGTATAAAACAATGTTTTGCGCCGCATGGTCAGCTTGAATGTAATATCTGCAGCAGACATCCAAAAATTTGCATATTACAAAAGCCAACAAAAACAGCACACGGCAAACCGTAGCTCACCTGAAAACGGCTCCAATGTGTCCGGGTAGTATTCCTCGTTTTTAGTGGCCGGCACCTCGAGTATATCCCATTCCACAGACAAATAGAATTCACTTAAATCGATGCCCACCTGCACGAGATTGCTGCCAGGCACCTATGCAAAAAATGTACGTATTAGCCGAACGACCAGGCAAAAGCAATTTGTTAGAGATGTAACACCCCTCCTCCCCTCCCTTTGCATCCCATGTAACCCTTAAAACACCACCTGGCGCCTGTGTCTGTGCATAAATTGCATTTAGTGCAGTGGAGCGCAAAGTAAATTTGCATCCGAGAGCTTACCTGATCCAAATGTTTAAGATCCACTTGGGCGCCATTGTAGGTCCATGAACCGAATTTCATAAAGCAAATTTGCTCATCGTATGGAAAATATTCAACGTTCATTTCACAGGATGACTTGTAAATCGCTGGCGGTTCCCAAAACACCTCCCCGGTGTATTTCAGAGTGGCCTTCGTCATGAGTGTGACCTAAAAATTGAATCATTTTGTCATCCTATAAATATCACTGAGGCAGGACCGCAAATGTTAAAGCACCTCGTAGTTGCCATCCCAGTTATTGTAGAGCACAATGTCCGGCACCCAGATATGCTCGGATGGCACATATAGCTGCTCCACCCCGCCGTATTCCTCTGGATCCCAACGCAGCTTATAATCAAACCAGCGCTAAAAGGCCATATTCGATTTTATTATAGTTATTTATTAGGCAAATTAATTACACACCTGTTTGACCCACAAATTGGTGGTCATCACCTGGTTTTTCAAATTGACCTCAATAAGCTGTGACAATTTCAGGCCCAGCCAAACGGTCAATGTCTCCGTATTATTGACAACCGGGCGTATCAACCGATTATAATTACTCAACAAATCATCATAGAGGCGCTTCGTATCCGGATTCGCCTCAAAGCTCACTGGCGCTGCATGGCATGGGAATAAAGACCAAAACAAAGCGACAGGCATTTAGCAAATATCCCAAACACAGATAATAATTTCCCAAAACAAAGATCTGCGCAGTCGCCGCGCTCACGAGCTCAGTCGCTCTTGCACTCTCTCGCAGGGCGCAGCCTTTTGACAGCTGGGAAACTTCTTAGATACAGCATCCGAGACATCAGAGTATCGGAATTTTCACAGATTTTTCATGCTGAACTTTTAATTACTTACGTGTTGTATTTGCCAGCGGTAGCAGCAAGAAAAAACCCAACCAAAACCAGCGCCACATATTTACTAAGATTTATATACAATTTTTATTTAGTTTGTGCAGTAACTTTAAATTCGCGTTAAACAATTGATTGCATTCTGTGTTCCGTATTGAATTGAACCTCCCAAGTTCGCAGTCCAGTCGTAACTGAGCGAAAACCTCACGAATTCAATAACCCAATTGTAGCAGCTGACAACAAGGACGTGAGCTCAGGATGAGCGAAAAGAATTAGACCGTTAATTCAAAAACATAAACAAAGAAAGACGCCCGAAAGAAAGATGAATTAAAACTGATGTAGAATTTTATCTTTCTTGTAATATTGTTTTTTTTTATATGAATGCAAAGTTTGTTTTTTTAATGAGTAGCCTAACCTTTTCATAGAACATTTTATGTATTGCCTGAAAACGTTACTAATTTATGAGCCCATTTAAAATTGGTGAAAAACATGAAGGATACGAACATTTTTTAAAGGCTTGTAAAGAGCATTCCTATAATTGTCGATAATTTGTACAATTGGGTGTTTTTACGAAAAAGTGTTTTTATTAAATTCATATAATATTTTGTAATTTTGATAATATCATAATAATTTATCAGTCTCCTTTCGTTTCACCTATTTGAATTAAACTTGCCATATTTTTAAAAATTATCGAAGAATTATCGCAATGGCGTTGCCACATTCGCATACATCATTAAGATTTTTAATACATACAATTAATTTTATATAATTATGTTCACAATTTTACTATAGTTCTCGGATTATTTGCTTAGGTAATACGGAAATCCGCCTGCCGATAAGCATAGATTGTATGCCAATAGAATTTATGTTAATTTGAAGCACTATTTTTGAATGGATTATTCACCAACCGGCAACTCACCCCGAGAATCAGTCAAGCATTCAGTTGAGCCAAGTTCGCAACCAGCTGTCAGCGGTTGCCTCGCAACAAAAACGAACTGACAACAAACAGTTGCCAAAAGTAAGGAAGGAATTGGAGCAAACAATTGAAGTTACTGGTGCAGAGAAGCGAAATACACAACTTTCGCTTTCAGCTGTAGATGAAAGCAAAGCAGCAAATGGGCCACAAGGGCAACTTTCCCCAGATGATGCGAGAGGCGGGCTTCAAGCTGCGCCAGTATAGAGATGGTCCCTTGGATTGGCGACAAATGGGTGAGTTGTAAAAAAAAAAATGTAATTAGCTTCTAGAAATGATATAAAATAAACCCTCTTTCAGGTTCCTATGAAACGGATCGTATATTACGTGAGCAAAACTTTGAAGCGATCGATGATGTACTCGAGCATTTGTCGGAGGCGCCACTGGGCACAGTGCTGGAGACGCACATTCTGGACAGCGGCATAGCCAAGTATTTTATAATGTCCCAGTATGCGATCCAGTATCTGCTCTGCTGTCGCACCTTTCTGGATGAGAGCGTTGGGGAGTTGAGGGAGGCGCATGAATCCTCACAGCAGGAGATTGTCCGACTGCGTAAATCCCTTGGCGAATCCAACAATGAGGTGGTGCAGCTCCACAAGAAGATCACACAAATTGAGGCCATACGCGAGGTGGTTTATCCCTGCCATCTGTGCACAAAGAATTTCATTAGCAACGAGGCACTCAACATACACATTGGACGCAAGCATCGCATTGGAACACCCACCCAGACGCCAGCTGCTGGTGGTGGGCCTGTCAAGGAGAAGGATAACGACATGCAGCTGATCAACACAATCAAAATGGAGCTGGAGATCAAGCAGCTGAAGGAGCGTCTCAATGCCGCCGAACGCAATATCAAGGAACGCTCTGGGAGCTCCAGACGGCATGTGAGTCCACGCCAGGATCAGGCCACAACAACGCTGACCATGCGCAATGTGGGCATCCAAAGCAACCTGGCAGAGTACAAGGATAAAGATGAGCTCAGCAGCGAGGCGGTGGAGAGTGAGGCCACTGAGCGCAAGGAGCAGCTTCATGGATTATCCGAACGTCTGAGTCACTTTGAGGCATGGCAAGTGCAACTCAAGCGGAGCAACGAAGACTTCATCCAGGGGATCAACCAAAAACTGGCGGATCTCAGTCATGCTCTGGAGCAGAGCAAGGATACCAAGATCACAGCCGTGACGCCCACAAATGCTGAGGAGCGTGTGGCGACGCCCTGTCTGGAGGATTTGGAGCGCATACTGAGCGAAAAGGTGGCTGAAATTGGCAAAGTCAGCGCCAATAAGCTGGAAGAAGTGGTCCATCAACTGGAAATGGGCTACAAGGATAAACTTGAGGCGCTGGAACGTGACCTAAAGCGGATCAGTCTGCGCAAGGAGCCTAGCGCTGTAGTGCAACATCCGCAGCAAAAGCAGCAACCACAGCCGTCGGCAACCACATCCAAAATACCCAAACCGCAGGCCAAAAAGGAGCTGACAATGGAGCGCATCAAGAAGCAAGTGGAAACGGAATTTCTTCAAGCGAAACGCGATGATGACACCTATTCCATAGAGGAGCTGCCACCAGCTCAACAGGAACAGCCGAAGCAGCAACCAAAACATGCAGTTACCCACGTCGAGGAGTTGGTCAGTGGCAACAGCTCCCGCAGTCATCCCACTTACACAAAGCCTCCAGCTCCAGAGCCCATCGTCAACGAAGCCAAGTCCGGCGCCAATCAGATGGAGGCGCAGGAATCGACGGACGTTAGTGAAAGCCTCAGCGACGAGGAGGAGGAAGAGAGCATCAGCGATGGCGGCAGTGAGCTCCTCACTTCGGAGCCTGAGCGACAAGTATTCAAGTCGCCCAAAATAAAAGTAACTCCAAAAATAAAGTAAGTAAAATAATTATGTTTTTAATTAAAAGCTATTTCAGTAAGTCCGAAAATCTGTTTTAGAAGTCCACAGAAGCCGCCACAGCCACTGACCCGCAAAGATGCCCGTAAGCTGGTTAATCTCAAACTGAATCCACTTGGCTTCAACATGAAATCGAAGAGTATATCCAATACTTACCTCAAGCGTGCGAGCTCTGAACTGGCACAAAATCGCAACAAGCTGAAATTGGTAAGTTTAACTTAACAAAATTGGTATTGTTGAGAATAGATAAATTATTAAATTTAAAATATGCTTAGTCTGTTTTGTTTAATAGTAAGATAACCCTCAACCGAAAGGGAGGATAGATAGAGTACATAATAAATTAAGACCTCAATTATAACCTGAAATTTATTACAGGAGCATCCACATTTCTATGCGACTCGCAATCGTATACGCAAATTTGTGGACAAACTTTGCTCCGCTAAGATGCCGGAACGGGCTGAGGAGCTGCTCATGAACAAGACGCCGCTGCAGCCAATGGAGATGCCCAAACGTAGAAGCGCAGTGCTGGGGGCCACAGATGACGATGACGATGACAATGAAGCTAGTGAACACACCTCACTGGAAGAGGCGGGGGAGGATGAAGGCACGGAGGAGAAGGAGAAGAAGCAGTCATCAACTAGCAGTTCAAAGGCGCTGAGACAACAGCAACATCAGAATTTCAAGGCACAATTGGAGCAAATGCTAGCGAGGCCAGTGGCCCAAGTGGTCTCCAAACCTAATATGGGAATTATGCAAGCAAGGCCAGTGCCGTTGCCACGCAAGCGCGTTATGTTCAATACGCTGGGCAGCGGATAAAGCGTTGGCGATGACGTTTAATCAATATAGTAAGAAAAATAAATATTCGAAGAAAAAAAAATGATCAATTTCAAATTTAAATGTGCTGGCAGTGCTGCCACCTTGCATTTACTGTCGAAGTGGCAGTGCTATTTAAATGGCCAGAGTCACATCGATGTATCGATATTTGTAGCTTGCAACTAATCGATACGCATATACGCGGCGAATTCAGATGGCGATGCGGCGAAGTGTGGTTGCGCGAAAAAATTTCTTGACGTCGCAAAAATCTACAATAACTTGCAATAAATGCTCTAAAACGCAGTCGAACAACACGCAAAGCAGTGACAAACGCTGAACTTACATGGCGTAACGGTTAATCTGTTGAAATTCCGCAGCAGCTTCGTGCAGCGCTGTTAAATATATTACCTGACGACACACACATACATACACACTTCGACTAAACACATATACACACACGCCCACCCGCTCCCCCCGCAAGCACATCGATGAAATAACATACATAACGTATACCGAAAATACATAAGCTATAAGCTAACGCCAAACTAACGGAGCCAAAAGCAGTCGCAAACGGAGCGCTCCCAGCTAAACAGATAAGAAAACAGACGAGCAGACGGAGACAGATAGAAAGAGTAGCAACAACAAAAACAGTAACTGTAACAGTAACAACATTGGCAGTGTTGTGAGCCGCAGCAAAAGATGTCCGACATCATGAACATTGACAGCATTATCTCGCGTCTGCTTGAAGGTAAGTTTCTCCGGCACCCACTCAACACCGTCCTCCTCCTGCTGCCCCCACATTATTTGTACATTTTTTTTTTTAATTTTAGTGCGTGGTGCACGTCCGGGCAAAAATGTGCAACTGTCGGAGAGCGAAATTCGCAGTTTATGTTTGAAATCGCGTGAAATATTCTTGTCACAGCCGATTCTGTTGGAACTGGAAGCGCCGCTGAAGATATGCGGTGACATACACGGACAATACTACGATCTGTTGCGTCTGTTCGAATACGGCGGCTTTCCGCCGGAGTCGAACTATCTATTCCTCGGCGATTATGTGGATCGCGGCAAGCAGTCCCTGGAGACGATATGCCTGCTCCTCGCATACAAAATCAAATATTCAGAGAATTTCTTTTTGCTGCGCGGCAATCACGAATGCGCCAGCATTAATCGCATCTACGGGTAAGTAAATAGCTCAATTATGCGATATCCATCGGTCAATAGCAAGTGGCATAATTACCACTTGCATTGCGTGTTTGAGAACGATCCGATTAGCATCCAACAACATTTCCAACATTACAATTATAATTCCCATTGGAACAATTTGAGACTATGCCTGTGTAATATGATATGTATTCTGTTCTTTGTATATATAGTATATCGATGTACAACGTTGTGATTATCTATGTTTTTAATGTGACAATTGTTATTGCTATTATTGTTGGAAGTCAAACTTTTGCTAGCCGCATCATTTTTATGTCAGTTACAAATTACAATAGTGTAAAATCGATAGAAACAATAGTTTTCGTGTCTGTCAGCAATGATTTTTATTGCTTTTTCAATACCCCATTAGCAATGGCCATATTAGAAAGCTTTTGATTCCAGAGCTATGAAAACAATTTAACAATTTAAACTTTCTGTAAAATGTTAAGCTCCTAAAAGATAAAACATCTGTCTGAAGATAAATATCTGAACAGATTGTTCATTTCTCATTTATATAACAAAAAATATTTTGGAATTTGAAAAGAATATACATATATAACTTCCATCTGGCTATCCTTAAACAGTTTTTCTTATATCGTGATAAGTGCCAATCACAGATTGACTTTCGTGAGAAACGCAATTTTTGTTTATATGTCATGTCATGTGTTGCTCATGTAATTGATTCACCAACAGGTTTTACGACGAATGCAAGCGACGTTACACCATCAAGCTGTGGAAAACATTCACGGATTGCTTCAACTGTCTGCCCGTGGCCGCAATTGTGGATGAGAAGATATTTTGCTGTCACGGCGGCCTAAGTCCCGATTTGTCCTCAATGGAGCAGATACGACGCATTATGCGGCCTACGGATGTGCCAGATCAGGGCCTGCTATGCGATCTCTTGTGGTCCGATCCCGACAAGGATACAATGGGCTGGGGCGAGAATGATCGAGGTGTCAGCTTCACATTTGGAGCAGAGGTAAACACAAGAAGAGTTTCAAATATGCCAAGCAAATACTAATTCACTCTTTTACGGTTTTAGGTTGTGGGTAAATTTCTACAGAAGCACGAATTCGACCTTATATGTCGTGCACATCAGGTTGTTGAGGATGGTTATGAGTTCTTTGCCAAGCGTCAGCTGGTCACGCTCTTCTCGGCGCCCAACTATTGCGGTGAATTCGACAATGCGGGTAAGTGGAGTGAAGAGTGGAGTAATCAGTGGTAGCTACACAAAAGCGACCCTGGACTTTAAACCGACTACAGACAACAACGTGGGTGTTATCTCTCAGGGTAGCTACTCTGTACACTGTATAGATAACTTTGAGATTAACACAGATTTTGGAGATAACCTTGCCGATAGAGCAGAACAATTCAACACATGGCGAGTAAATACTGCACAGTGCAGTGAAACTACAGTTTTGGGAGGGAAATAGTGAAATAGCGAAAAGAAAATGTAGAACTAATGTTTAAAAAGCTTGCTGATTAACTTGTACGTACTCTATATGTATATTTATATATTCTTAATCAGCACCTGTCTCGCTTTCAAAATCAACTTCATGAAAGTCGACTAGATGGGACCAGTACATCGTATTTGTAGGACAGAGTGATTATTTGTACATTTGAACATTATTTCAACCTATGAGCTTTTGACTAACGTATTCTACACATTGCATAGGGACAATCTGACGAAAATGTATTGTATTTTTATATGCTAAACCAAAACTGACCAATTTATGGTTCTGAAATGTTGACAAGAAATTATCGGCTATCAAATACCACAATTGGTTATATTCTAGTTTGATACTAATAAATATATAAAAACATCTATCATGAAATTCAGTCGGAATTGAGTTATGTGAAAACTGTTCAGTGGAAAAATCCGATGAATAACTATCATTTTATTTTCGATAAAGAACAGAGCTTGGTGCATTCGTGTTCGTTGTATAATGATGGCATTTTGTTTATAGAAAGCAAAACATTATAAAGAGAGGGTGACTTGAGGTACACTCAGTTAATGATTTGGTAATATGATATCTGATTTATTGGTTGTCTTATTTATAGGTGCCATGATGTCCGTTGACGACACATTAATGTGCTCCTTTCAGATATTGAAACCCGCCGATAAGCGACGATTTGTTTATCCAAACTTTGGAAGCTCAGGGCGTCCACTAACACCGCCCCGCGGCGCTAACAGTAAGAATAAGAAGAAATAAGCGACACACCAACAGCAACAACAACAACTAAAGCGAAAACAGCAACAAAAACGGCCACACAAAGGAAAACTAATTAAAAGCGCAAAAATGTTTGTTTTTATCGAATATTTATAATCGAATCGTGAGCAACGTTATAAGGGTATTTAAATTCATACAAATTAGCCTATTATTCATTTGAAAAACGAAAAGCAAAATGCGAGAAAAAAAGGAAACAAAAAACACACACAAATGCATACACATACATACATACATACACAAAAATTGAGACACTTTAGTTCAAACTAATTGTAGTGTTAAACACTGCATAAGCAAGAATATCTCTTAATGTATTAATTTTATTTTGTTATAGTTTTTCCTTGCGCAATGCGAACACATAAACACACACATAAGCGTACAGTAGGTACGAAAAGTGCACAGACACACACACACACACACCAGTTGTATTTATTGCATATTTATCTTGCACGGCATTTTTCGGTTCTTTGCATAGCACAACAACCTTTATAAATATCTGTTTTTTTTTTTAATATAGTAAAATGGTAAAATGTTCATTTTTATTATTATTTTAAAGTTATAAACATCGCTTTTTAAAATGTGTGTGAGTTGAATACAAATGTATGACGAAAGTATGTACGTATTTTAAGCGCAATTTATTTTTTTATCTATTTTCCATCATTAAAATTCTACTAAATGTTTACTTAGTTTTAAAGCAAAGCAAATTTAGCTCGAAGGTACATAAGTTTGAATTGTTTACACCAAAAATATTGAAATAAACAAAAAATTGTGTATATTTTAAAATTAAATGCGTTGACGATTAAATATGTAAAACACAAAACATGCATATGGAAAAAAAATGACAAAAGAAAAAACGACAAAAAAAAAACAATAATTATAATTAACTTAACAGTAATGATTAATTGCAAACAGCAAATTTGTTAAACAAGAACACAACAAAAAACAAAAAAAAAATTAAATGCTTGCAAAATCAACAACAATTTAAAAGCAAAAGCTAAAAGCGGTATACTTTTGAGTGGCACTGTGTGCCCTTTGCTGACGTCAGCGACGCGGCAGATAAGGTTACAAACAAGAACAACAAATTTAACAAAGCAAAATTTACATACATAAATATATATATATTTATATTTATATATATATATATATATATATATATATATATATATGTATATATAATATTTAAATTGTAAACTGAGACAAAAACACACACACACAGATGTGTGCATAGGTACATTCGTGTATTTGTATTTTGTGACAACAACAGTCGGTACATTCTAGTGCTAAAGGCCACCACATTCAAGTATTACACCTATTATGCATGTACGTATGCCCCGGCAAGCGATCAGCTCCAGCCCAAAAACAAAAAGGATAAGTAGTTCTAGCTCACACTTGCCATGGCGTAAATGACCCCCACAAATGGTTTCGTTTGTAAAATCCCCCCGCCCGTAACAATCGCGTTAACAAACTGAGTTTCCAACTTGAATGTCCAGCTAAAGCCTAAATCCCCTTGTCAAAACCACTCTAGTACTCTGTTTAATGTTGTATTGAATTCTAATTACGTACATAAATATATGCAAAAGATAAATATAAAGAAAAAATTAAAAAAAAAAAAAATACAAGCAAAGAACGAAGATAACAACAACAACAATTATTTAATATTATAGTGAATATTGGCTGTTTCCAAAAAAAAAAACACTTATAAGAAATTACAGCTGAAGAGCAACTCGCAAACAATGAAAAGAAAAATAATTCACTTGTAATTAATTTTTTGGAAACTCAAAAAGACAAATTAAGGAAATTCAAATCGCATTCATAGCTAAAATGGAGCAAAAACAAAATCTCTAAAACAAAAATATTTATAAAAAATAAAATCAACATGAAGCACTTGTAACAAAATAGCACTGTTTTATTAAAATGAAAAATGAAATACATACTAGCAATACAAATTATTGCGTTTTGTCTGGATGGGGTTGTGCCTTAATTGATGCGGGGCTTGTAATAAAATATATCTTTTGTTTAGTCAATACACATAAAAGTTTTAATTTGATTTATTTACTGTTTATTGTTAATGCATCCAGGTTATTTTTTCTTTAATCATTATTTAAAAATTTCTTACACATTTCCAAGTCGACCATTTAATTATTTTATTTTTTAATATTAAACGCAAATATTGTAAGAACACCCTTTTTTATTTAATTGTTTTTAAATTTATGTTTTATTTTATCTTACACACTTGTGTTAAATATTATAAGATACTGTTTTTATTTAACTATTTATTTGTTCCTTATATTATAAGTTTATGTTCTAACGCACAAATTGGTAATTATAAAAATATAGAACTATGAATTCAATTTAAAAAGATATTAAGATAATTTGCAAATTGTTCCCAGAGAAGTTCTTCTGTATAAGGTGAAGCTCATATATTGCCGCTAAAGTGCTACATTATTTTGATCTATCTTACAAGTCGACAGATTATGCGTATTCATAAAATTTGAGCAGTGAATTTAAGCAGATTAAATCGAGCGCTTAATCAAGTAAATTTCTTAAACCGGTTTTTTGAGATTGTCTGCTTCACTTAGTCAGCGTATGTGCACCCAAGTTTTTCTCTTTCAGATTGCACACTTATGCATCATTTGTTGTTTATATTAATATTTCACTTCTGTGGCTACTCTCAATTGAATCGCAGGGCGCAGCTTCGCCCCATGGGCGCACACAATGCACCCGAGCCCGTGCCACTCGCCTGCTCCTCTCGCAATTGTAGCTGCAGAAGCCTCTGACGTAGTGCATAGGGTGTCGTTCCCGACGTTGTCATTGCTGCCGGCTTAGTCTGCTGCCTGCACTCGTTCGCTTTGTTCTTCTGCCACTTGGCATTCTCGGCCACTCCTAGTTTGTCGTAGGCGCGCTGCAGACGCAGCTCATCCTGGCGCTGAGCACTGAAGCAGTCACTAGCATTCAGCAGCCTGAATTGCTGTAGCGACAGCAAACGCTGCATTTCCTCATTACCATTCTGGGTGGGGCTGGTAGGCATTGTTGGTGACGGCGTTGCTGTGCCCCTACCTTGAACCTGACCTTGAGCAGCGAGCCGGCTGGCGACGCAGGCGCGTTGCTCATAGAGACGTCGATTGTCCGTGTGCTCGCAATGGCTGCAATTGTTATTATTGCTGCCGCCCCCACTCCGCTCTCCGGTGCCCCAACTTAGCACCTTGACGCGACTTTCTCGCTGCTTTTGGGGGGAACAGGAGCTGCAGCAGCTAGAGCAGTGACTCAATGTGGTTGTTGCCGAATTGCGACGGCTGAAATCACGACTCAATCCACTCTTGGAGTGGCCCAGTCCCAGCTCAGCATTTAAATGTGGATTTGGCTGCTTTACGAACTTAGTGGGACGCACGCTCTGCCTAGATGATGACGTCAAAGAGTAGATATCACTGCGATGCGGCATCTGCTGCTGCTGCTGCTGCTGCTGTGGCACTCTGCTGACGTGGTGGCTCTTTGTCTTTAAGATGCTGCCCGTGAAGCTTCCACCGCTGTGGCCACAATAGCATCTCTGCATTTTTTCCTCTTATTTTGTAATAGGTATGTGGTAATGATTTCGACTTTGGCTGAGCCCCAAAAAATAGTGTCTGCGTGCTCATAGAATGTTAAGCGACGACTATTGAGTGGACGGGGGCAACCGGTTTACACGCATACCTAACGCCTCGACACCCATGCCCAACACCGTTACCTGGTCGGACTGCCGGCTCGCGTCGTTTGTTTATATTTGAACAACAATTGCAACAGTTTCCATAGACACATGCTCAACTGACTGGTCGAGGTCCTCGCGTTGCTATTTTCTTTTTTTTTTGGCTTGGATGAATTGGCTGGCTTAACGAATGACTTAGGCAACAAACTTAAATTATGGGCTTTTATTTGATGGTGACTTGAGCTAGTGATTAGAACTAATTGCTTGGGAGTTGTTGCCATGGGAACTGGCTGGCATTTAAAGTTTTGAAATGTGACGGGATTCTTTTCTCATGACACGGACGTGGCATTTTTAAAGTTTTTTTGATTTCCATTATATATGGTCAGCATACACGACACGGCATTCATTAAAAAAATGTTATTACGGCAAAATCGAAATATTGTATTAAAAATGAAATTTCTTACAGAACACAATAAATTATATAGATTATTATGATCTAAAATTAAATGGAAAACATCTTTGAACAGACAGTTTAACCTTAATAAAAACTTTTTTGACAGAAGAAATAATTCAAGTGTTTCCATTTATTTGTCTAGCATTCTATGCAGCTCTTACAACTTTACTAAGCAAGTTTGAAATTTTTTTGAAAACAAAAATCATCTATTCTTTGGAATGTCAAGAAACTGTTTTGACAACTGTTATTTATGTTTATGGTTATGCTAATCTCTTACATAACTAGATATTTTCTCAAATGCTTAATTTAATTTACATGTTTTTGTATAGCTATTAAAATTGCCTTTATTTGTTTTATCTTTCGCTTGTAGTTTCTAATTATTACATTTTTATTAATATTTTGGTGTCTGATTACATTTTTTAAATTCCGATTTAAAGCTGTGTGTGATGTAAGATATTATATTATTTGATTTAATAATTACTTGTGTTATATAAATTCCGAATTAAAGCTCCACCCTTTGAAGCTTTTCTTGTGCATTTAAGCCAACTGGCATTAAAGATGTGTAAACGACTTATGTATGTTTACTACCGACTTTTTCAATTGCACCCCAATTAAAATTTACATCAGAAATGTACGAAAGGTTCAATGAACCAAAACGACAACAAAAAGGGCATTACGTAGGGTTGGTCGGAAGAGCCGGTCATCGTACGTCACCGGTTCCCACAACAGGAGACTGAATCGAGACAACTGCAACTTTATGTTCATGAATGGATATCGGTTGCATTGCCCAAAGCGGTCAGGCGGAAAGCAAAAGTTGAATGTTTATGGGCCAAAGCTTGTTGTGGTATTCATTGAAACTGAAGCGTGTATTTTGGCTAAAACGTAGGAAGCTTTTTAAAGCCAGCGAAGCTCACTATATAACTGACACGCTCGAAGCATCCCGCGACCATTGCGTTGTGATAAGTCGTCGTGCAGAGAAAACCCGATCAATTAAGCAGCAGCAGCAGCAGACGATTCTTCGCCTTTCCTTTGCCTGTGCGTGTGTGTGTGTGTGTGTGTGCGTGCGTTACGTGTGTTTGTGTGTGTGCATTTCTGTGCGGGTTTCAAGTGGAGTCTATAATTGGGAAAACACCAACATTGGCAACACATTTCACATATCGCATCCGACTTTGAGCTTCAATATGTCAAAACATCCGACAGTTATATTGCTACTACTAATCGCTGCGGTTGCAAAATTTGTAACGGCCGTTCAAGATTTGCGTAAGTAACATTAACAACAACAACGAGTGCAAATTACTCGCAGCTTGTGATTTCGTTGTTAGTTGTTTCTTTTTTTCTATATTTTTTTTTTTTTTTTGCTTCATTTTGACCATTTTGCTTTGGCTGGTTTTGGGCTGAGGCCCAACAGCGCTGTTTATGGCCAAAACGTGATCAATATTGCATATGGGTGGTTAGTTTATATGTGGCTGCCTTTTGGCTTACGGCCCGAAGGCCAACGCTTGAAGTGTTCTCTAATGGTCTAACCGCCAGGGTGACAACTTGGGCATGCCAATAACCTTAAACCAATAACCTTGCCTTCAAACATAGCACAACAAATGACTTGTAATGGAAATGCTGGCGACAGCCTAAACTAAAAGCTAACAGCCTAAGAACATCCGCAATAAAGGCCAGATCCGGCGGGAATACGGCAAAATTGCAATGCAACTGCATCGATAAGCTAAAATGGAGTTGTTATGCAATCGAAACAAGTACGCAACATAATGGCATATCGATATCGCCAAACTGGTTTGCGGTTGGCGTGCTGGTCGGTGGTCGGTGGTCGGTGGTCAGTGGTCAGTGGTCCACTTCCTCTTGCTGCTATGACACATATTTTACAGCATGATTATGCACGAATAGTGATGTATAGCTAGTAGTAGTAAATGTTGTATATGATTATCGCGATGTTGCCGTAGGTCATGAGTGGCGTTTTTTTCTCGCAGCATCTTGAAACAATAAATAACCATGTGCTTCGACTTGACATTGAGAGTCGGATGAATAATATACGGTCAGATATTTTTTTATTGAGAGAGTATTGTTGCTGTATTTTTAGACATTGTCTGAAACAAGTTTTGTGGCCAACGAACTCTATCTAAAGTACCCGTAATGCTGATGCAATTACAAACTCCTAGTAGCGGGATTTCCGCAAAATGTTTCAATGTCATGATCAACAATATTATATGCTTATTTTGTTTTATTTCTTTTTAAAGCGGACAACTTCCTCAAGTGCAAACGCGATGCGAACTTTGACAAGTGTCTGGTGGATGCTGTTAATCATGCAATACAAGTGTTAAGAGCTGGTAAGTATAAACCTTAGCCTATTAATTCGACTGAACTAATCCGATGGCTGACAGGAAATAAAGAATTCGGCATTCCGCCGCTTGAGCCGCTGTCCGTGAAGAAACTCGTTATAGACGCCGGTAATGCGCCCATAAATCTTCGTCAAGCCTTGAAAAATGTGAAGGTGCACGATATGATCTCGACCAGCAAGATACAGCGGTACAGGTAATTAACAGATAGCTGCCAATATTCAATAAGCAAATCAAGTTGTAAGTCACCTTAATTTTCTTGCTTTCAGAACCGATTTGGACAAACATTTAATAATCTGTGATAGCAAGACCGATCGCATTGAAATGATAGGTGATTACGAAATGTCTGGTCGCATTCTACTGCTGCCCATTACGGGTCATGGCAAGGCTAATATTACGCTTATCAATACCAAAATCGAGCACCGACTGATTGGAGAACCCTTCGAAAAGGATGGTGTTAAGTATATGCGTCTCAAGGAGTATCGCGTTGCTTTGGATCCTAAACGCGTTTACATGCACTTCGAGAACCTTTTCAATGACAAAACCCTATCTGAGGGTATGAATCGTTTTCTGAACGAGAACTGGGAGACAGTGTTTAGCGAACTGAAGGTGGGCTACGCCAAGAGCTTTGGTCTGGTGTTCCGTGAACTCTCAAACAAATTATTTGAGAAAGTACCTTTTGATAATATATTTTTAAGTTAGTTTGCCTAAGTGCTATGTAATTTATGTAAACTAGTTAATAAACCGTAGAAACGGTTTTATGATTTTAAACAATCTAATTTGAAATCGAACGGCAACTATCGATAGCCTAGTTTGGTAGGGCTGTCAAAAGCTATCAAAAATAATTCATATACTCTAAATATTTGGATTAGTTTTAAAAACAAATCCTAATAAACAAAAAATTACAAAAACTAGAAATTGTATTCTTTTTATATATTAACCATAATTTATACAACAATTTTTAAATTACAAATTTTCGCGCCCGAACCTTATATCGATACTTCAGTTTTATCGTGGCTTGTCGATGAATCGAGCACTTTCTCATTGCTAATATTGCAATTTTGGCACTTTCTAAGCACAAAGATTTATATTTGTCTAACCAATTGATTTAACACGATTTAATAAAGAACTCAGGCGACGTTTAACAACCTGCCTGCATGGCAGAGAAAATGAGCAGCATGGATGGCACAGTGCCGGAGGCCAAATACCAGAAATTGGCTAGTGAATACTCAAAGGTAAGGCTAACAGCAACAGTTTACGCCCCATTCGCAAGCGCTTTAATCTAATTTAATCCACATCCGCTCACACACACAGCTGCGCGCTCAAGCGCAAGTGCTGAAGAAGGCGGTTATCGACGAGCAGGCAAAGGAGGCGAGTCTGCGCGAGCAATTGCAACAGAATGCCACATCGCTGAGGCGAACCGAACAGGAGGTGGACTCGCTGGGCTTTCGCAATAAGCAGCTGGAGTCGCGGGTCTCGCAGCTGCAGCAGGAACTAACGGTGCATGAGCAGGTGCGCAAGAAGAAGGAGCCGGGCAAGCGAGGACTCCTGGGTGGCAGGCAACCAGAGCCACCAAGTGAAGCACCGAGCATAAGCGCGGCACAGGAGGCGCTCATTTTCGAGGAGCTGCAAAAGAAAATAATGGAAAACGCACAGCTGACATCATTGGTAAATGGGTGGCAGTAAAAACACACACGCACACATACCCATTTACTCACGCACACTTAAAAACTATTTCCACCCCACAGATCGATGACAAGCAACGCGACTTGTTGCTGCACACAGAACGTATTGCGGAGCTGGAACAGAAGCTGGAGAAACGCCTTGCTGACCAAAACGAATTGGAGAATCGCTTGCGCAAAGAGGTGGAAACGCTGCAACACAGAAACTGTGAACTCGAAACGAAGCTGGTCGATGCGGCGAGCATTGTAAGTCCTTAATAAGTTATCCGCCAAAGGCAAAGCTCATCGGAGATAATCAAATGCTATATATAAAATTATATATTATGCTTGCAGCTAGGCAGTGAGGATGCTTTGAGCGCCACGGGCAGCGACAGTACGCCGTTACACAATCTACAGCAACAGCACCAGCTTAACACCAATGCAGCCTTAACGCTTACTGCCGAGGAACGCATTGCGCTACTCGAAAAGGAGTCGGCGCACTGGCGGGCCCAATACGAAGTGGCCAAACTTAGCCAGAACTTCAACTCGAACTCGAACACAAACATGGATCTCGGCAAAACGTTGAGCGATGCCAGCAGTATTTGTAGCTGCAGCACAGCTGCCGCTGGCATCACAGTTAAGCCATGCAGCCTGGAGAGCAAGTGTAGCCACCGGGCGAGGGATTTGCTACAGGATCCACCCGATCCACCTACCAAGGAGCAGCTTATATATAGCGTGTTTAGCAAAAAGTATGAAGATCTGCTGCGGCTGAAGGCACTGGCAGAGTCACGTCTGCGCTCCTTTGAACAGGAGGCATTACATTTGCAGATCTGCCTGGAAAATGCGACGCAAGAACTGAAAGCCAAAGACGAACAACAGTCGAGTCTGGGCGGAGCACTGCAAATGCTCGAAGAGGAACTGGTAAGACAGCTACATGCATACATATGAGTGGCATGTGATTAAATCAAAATCCGTATTCTTACAGACCACGACGCGTATTAACTACGAGGAGCAGATCAGCGTTCTCACGGAGCAAGTGATTAGCTTAAGCGACCAGTTGGCTGCCTGCAAATGAATATCTGCCCATAAGTTGTATATTATTTAAAATGAGTAACATCAGGCCACTGTACAACATAGCCAATGGCTAAGCAGTTGCAGCTGAAAAGGGTTATTTAGTTATCGGATTATGCAACTATTCGAATTGATAAACAGAACTTGGCAACTGAATGAGATAGGCCAAGGTCTGAATGCACATAAACCTGATAACTAACTGGCTCTTGATAGCGCAGCAAAATCTTTCTTTATATGTAGGTCCAAGATCAATGCAGTGTGTATATAGCTGAACATATAAGTTAATATATATGTATGTTTTGAATATTTCACTAAAGTTTAACAAGCAACGTATTATTTAAACATAACTAATTACAATTTTATTGAGAACGATGAGCCACAGGAGCAGCCCTGCTCAGCCAGCGGATTGGCAATCATGCGAAAACCCGCCCGTATTAGCTCGCTGTGATAATCCACTGTGGCGCCATTGCAGTAGTCCAGCGAGACACTATCTATCACCACTTTGGCCTTGTCCTCGCCAAAGTGTAGGTCATCTTCATGGAGTTTTGTGTCCAAATCGAATTTGTATTGAAATCCCGAGCAGCCGCCGCCCTCAACAGTTATACGCAGAAAGGAACCATCCGTGCATATTTCGCGCAAACGTTTCAAGCAACTCTCGCTCACGCGCAACTGTTGTTGCTGCGTATTTGTCAAATTGGATGCGACTGCAGCTGCAACGGGAGCATTTGCGGCGGCATCTTTGGCGGCTTGGCGCAGTGAGGTCGCCGAGAGCAAATTTCTTTAAAATATACATAGTTGGGTAAGTTCAGTTTTATGTTCATTCTATTTATATTTACCTTTGCAGCGTAGGTTTTGCTAGCTGACGCAACATGAACGCCATCACAGTAATTTTAGGACCAAAACAAAAAATCAATTTTGAGTCAATCTCGTAATCAAAACAAAGTGACAACAGCTGTTTTCTAGGCATGCGATGTGCTTGATCCAGCTGCGTGCAATATGCGATATATTAGTCGCCACACACCAATTAATATATCGATAGACGCGAAAATGCATAGCTGTGTATGCGCTTGCGCTTCTCATGGTGGCTTGCTGCGGAATTTTCAAACGTTGGATTTTGACTTTGTAGTCAAAAAGTGTTTGTATTAAGTGATTTGTTAATGTTTTTAGTGTGTAGCACAAGTTGTACCTGGTAATGGCGCTGAAGATGACGGTGAATAGCAAGCTGGAGGCAAATAGCAAACAACACCGACGATATATCTCCGATCCCGAACGCCTTAAAAAAGATCTCGAAAATGAGCGTCGCATAACCCGTTTGCAGCAGGTAAGACGCAATTGCGTTTTTGGGGTTTACATTGTAAACAATGACGAAACCAATTAACTGCGTTTAGGTGCGTGAGAAATCGAAAGAATTGGCTCGCACCATACGGCAAGAGGTGGCGGCTGAACAGACGCGTCAGCTAGAAAACCTTGAGAACATCAAGCAGCAGGAGTTTAATGCGTGGCGTGAGCATGTTGTGGCCAAAAAATTCCAGGACTACCGTACCTCAATGTTTCAAGTGGGTGCCGCCCATCGCGCCGCCCAAGCTGAAACCGAAAAAATCGAACTAGGAAAGCAACTGCGACTACAAAAAATAAAAAACTGTCGTCTGACCGCCAAGCGTGCCACAAAACCCACAGCTACGAATGTACTGCGTGCCACCGGAGGCATGGGTCTCAATGTAGAAGGACGAGTCAGTGCGGGCACACAAACGCCAGTGCAAGCAGACAAAGTAAACGATTGCAAGGAGAACCGGTCGTGCAATAGACCACGTTGCAAATCAACAAGAAATCATAATTCAGGCAAACGCAAGAGACAACCATGTTGCCAGAATAATGATAATCATCAAGATGAGAGCGACAATGAAGAAATAATTGAATCGCTATCGGACAGCAGCAACAGCTGCGATGAGCCAACTGCAGCGCAACCAACAACAAGCGAAGCCAGCGTCAGAAGGCTGCAAAAGACGCCGCCAATTATTTTGGATGTGGATGATGAAAGCGAGGATTCACTAGAGATTTGCTCAATCGACGGCATTGAGATTAACGATATGCACATGCAAACTAACCGCAAATTTAGTCGTGTAGTGCGACCCTCTAACACAAACGGCTCAGAGCTGCAGGAGGACCCAGGAGTCGAAGGAACTTCTTCGCGTCCACGTTTCACACAAATCAGTGATCTGGTGCGACGTACTACACGGATATCGGAATTGACCGCCGAATGCGCACAGGGGCAACAACAGGAACAAGAAATTCACATGCGGCGCAGTCCCACCATATCTTTACCTCGTTCGCCCAACAAAACAACGACAACCGAGGCTCAAGTGGGCTCCTCCCAACGCTCGCCCATCAGAGCAGCGATGGAGCAACCAACTACCTCTAATCACCCAAGAGACAACCGTCGCCCTGCACAGAGGCAAAAGCAGTCCACGCTGAAACCCAGTAGCAAACGGATTCTTCCTGCTAAGGTCATAGATGCAGGCCTAAAACGCAGTTTAACCACGGTGCAACCAAAAGCAGCCACAGCGCAGCAAACAACGACAAAACTTTCACAGGAGCCAACTGCACAAAAGCCACGCCCACAACAGCCAGTCGTAGAAGCACCTCGTACGCAACAAATGCCCCAACAAGAGCCACCCATTGAACAGCTGCCCATACAGCCGCCAACTGTGCAACAACTGCCCATGCAGCCGCCACCCATTCGACAGTTGCCCATGCCAACTGTGCAGCAGCTGCCCATGCAACCATTTCCTCCTTACATGCCAATGCAGCCACACCTTATTTATGGACCGCAGATGATGCAACCGTATCCCATTTTACCCTTTCCCATGCAACCATATACTATGCAACCCATGCGGCAGTTTGCACCACAGCCTGCGCTCCCAACACAACCAACGATGCCGGCGTCTAGCACTGCCACAGCTGCCACAACAGGGGCTCCAACACGCACCACAGCCAGCCACACAACTGTCTCCACGACAACATATATGCTGCGTCAAGGGCAGCCTGGAAACGCAGCAAGTGGACACGTGCAGTTCTACGATCACAACAACAAATATCAGCGCCAGTATAAAGCGCCCACAGAAGCCGTGCAAGCTAATCTGCCGGATAACACGGACATGAATGCCATGGAGCAGGCAAACGCTGAGACGCTTCGGCGCCAACTACGCGAACAGGAGCTACAAAATCTACGGTAAGATTGTACAATTCACACACCACCTATTTCTTATGTAATTTAAATTGAATTTAATTTAAATAAAGAAACAAATACTTTTGATTCCATTGTTAAAGAAGCCATCAGTCAATAAGCAAGCCAATATTTGGTAATATTCTGGCAGGACAAATATGGCCATAGCAGCAGGAATCCAAAAAGAGGTGTTGAAAAATCATTTCTGGTTTCGAATGTTAAAGATTTAATAACTCAATTATCCAAATTACTTACGGACAGATCGAAAATGTAGAGCTAGTAGGGCACTGTATAAAACTAATATGCCAGTCAACTCTTTGGGCACAGAGATTAATCCATACACGCACTATCCACGCCATTTAAATAATATTAAAAATTGCTTGTCAAATCCCTTTTACAGCCAGGTCACCGAACAGCGTGGACAGAAGGCGCTGCAACGCGAGCAAGTCCGTCGCGATTGCGCCCAGCTGACAGAGAAACTGGATGCCTTGACACAGCAGCAGCCGCAGCTGCTGCCAAGCGACGTAAGTTCAAATCTTATTGTTTTGCACAACTTTTTGCTGCAAATTTTTAGATTTTTTTTTTTGCGAATAGGCTAATTTTGTGCCCAGTCATCGGTTTGCTGATTTGGCTTCACGGCGCGAACAAAAAATGAACGCTGCCATAGAGCAGATCCTGTTGCGTCCGGCCATTGTTACCTGTCCTGAGGTGGGCGTGTCCCGACACCTCTCACCTAGAAAGACGGGCACACGGTGCAAATCCATAACGCCAGAGGCTATCAATTTGGGCAATCCGCCGATGGAAAAGGCAGACGATGCCGCCAGCTGTTGCTCCATGCTGATCGACTATGTGGACGATCAGAGCAAGCAGCTGCGCACCGAGCTCAAGGGAATGCAATCCAATTCGGTGAAGTCTGTGAAATTAAGGAGTCTTTTGCAGCGCATCGAGAAAATAAAAGAGCAACTGCTAGCGGAGCTGCAGGCGGGCGACATGAACGGAGACAATGCACAAAAAGTGATCGATTCCATTCGCAAGGAACGCGCCAATATACACACGGGCTCAGCTCTCAATATCGACCAGAGAGAGATGGAATTGCAGCAGAAGGAGGAGTTGCTGGAGCAAAGGTTGCGTCAGTTGTACAAGCACCAGCAAAAAGTTGATGGGCGAAAGCACAATGATAACCCAGTGGAGATCATAATCAAGGTGAAGAGCGACGGCACCGTCAAACAGTACGTGCCCAAGACGAAAATGCAGGATAATCAAAAGTCAAAGACAACGATGGAGCAAGGCAACTCAAAACCAAGCACATCCTCATCAGCAGAAGCTGTAGGGTCAACCACATCAGCGCTAAATCAACGCCAGAACTCCATAGACTCCACTTCCACAGTGTATCGCGAGCTGCCTCCTGTTAACTATAAGAACATCAGACCACCAAGTGAAACTCCTGCCTCAACTTCTACATCGACTCCCGCACAGCCGGAGCCACTGCATCCAATAATTGCGCAATATGTGCAGCGCTTGCTGGGCATGTCGCGCAACTCCATAGATAAGCTGAGCGTGAGCAGCTCAGAGGTGACCACGCCTGCCGACTCCATCATTAACCAGCCTCGGAATATTTCAACTGGTCCCGCGGTGGATGAGACACTGCTTGACAATCAGCGGATGGAGCGTGTGCAGGCCTTCATTCAGGACAATCGCAGTTTTGTTGACGAGCTCGAGGACACGATGCGCAGCCAGCAGCTGGAGCAGCAGCAGCAACAGGAGCAACAACAGCAGCTGGACAAAGAGGCCAGCCTGCGAGCCTTTGATCAGATCTGGAACAAGCGTCTAGCCACCAAACAGCAGCAGCAGCAAAAAGAACAACAGCAAGCAGAAGCTGTAAGACCAAAGACTAGTGACAGGGCAACTGCTACTAGACGTGCGACTTCAACTACTTTCGCACAGAGCACATCCAGATCTGTGGCTTACAGGTTACCGCAACAGGGAAAGATGCCACCGACACGAGTCATCGATACGCAAAGACAACAACGCCACGTGGAGCCAAGCAGCACCAATCAAACAAACAAGTCCCCAATGGCCAGCGAACAAAGTGCTGCCCTGCATATGGAGCGCTATGAGCGGCTCACAGAGAACTGCACGCAGCGTATTGCGGAGTTAACGGAACTCATCACCAAGGTACGTGAGGAGAAGCAACGACTGGTGGAGGTCACACTGACCTCGGCCAGTGAGGGAGAGCGCCATTCCACGGAGTACTTTGATTTACCGCCAGGGCAGCGGGAGCAGGAACAACAGCTGCAACAGCCCGGCTCTCGAACGATATCCGAGCGCAGTGATAGCCATGATACGACACCTTCGCACTCGGAAGCGCTGCCTCTGCAGAAGCATAAACCGACGGGCGCTAGTCTGGATAGCGGTATATCAATTTCACGACCACTGACAGCAATGGGTCAGGAGCCACCCGAGGCAGAGCCCACATCGTTGACATCCTCCACACAGAGCGGGGCGCAGCGTCGCGGCAAAGTTCCGCCGGCCACAATACGTCGCTACAGTCCACAACTGGCAGCTGAGGATTTGGCGCACGAATTGTCCACCATCACGGAGGTGGACACGCCGGCACAGTCACATATGTTGGTCACCACGCCCGCACCAGTGCCTTTTCCCAGCTTCGAACAGTATGCACAGGAGCTGCAATTGGATCTATCGCACATCGATCCGAATCAAAGCATGCGGTTGCAACAAGAGTTCCAAGAGATAATCCACACCATCCAGCAACGCGGCCACGGTATCGACTATCGAGAATTTCCCAGTATTAGTGCCTATTTGCACAATATAACGACAACCACAACCCGTGTCCATATCGAGGCGGAGCATCCATCACTGGCAGCGACCGATCTATTGCAGCAAATGCGTATGCCCAATGTCAGCATACATGAGTTTCCCAACAGGCGCGAGTATCTGCAACAGCTGCTGGCACGTCAGCCGCCCGAGCAAGGTGAACTGATTGACAGCGGCAGCCTGGACAGCAGCGACTCCTTCAATGTGGAGGCGGAGCTGCGGCAACGTCGCCTACTTCTCACTTCCTTTCGCCGTGGGCCGGAAGCGGATGAACTGCCAGAACTAGAGGTGGCTAGCAGTACGCGCCGCGAAAGCATTCCACCGGGCAGCACCTCACAGGCGCCAAATGAAAGTGGCATTGAACCGCCGTACAGATGCCCACTTACCTTCGACGTGCAGTTGGATATGCAGCGAATGGGCGTGCGCAGACCTGTCAGCATGCGCCATCGACAGCGGGGCCAAGCGGATCATCCAAACAGCAGCGCCGACAGTGAATCACCAAAGGACAGATCCACTGGCGGCTGTGGCTTGAACAAGTCTTCAGATGCACCAGAGCAAGTCAGCCAGCTGGGACGATCGCTCAATTTGCGTGAGTTTCTCACCAAGGAGCTGCTCAAGCATCGCGTCCACAATGAAGAGAGCAGCTCAGGGAGCACTGACGACTCGTTAAAAAGCAACTTTTTGCAATCAGTCATCGGTTCTCTATCCCTGTCAAGATCCTCGTGCACTCCAGCGCTGGGACATGCCACCAATGGCACCAACGATAGACAAAAGACCTCTACACCCGTTGGTTCGCTTCTGTCCGACCAGGGTAAGGCCGGTTCGCTGCAAAGTGACGACACACAACTATTCTCCGGCGAAAGTCGCTTGTCAGCGGTAAATTATGCTGATGGCACACCTCCGGTGCCTCACGAGCAGCAGGCTTCACTGGGTCGCAACTCGAAGACTCCAAAGGCGACGAATCGAAAGACGCTACGAAAATGAAGCAATGTTTTTCTAAATTGTCTAGACAACATTTTTATTTATGTGTGTATTAGTGTGTTCCCCAACTGCATGTAATTTTTACCATGGTAAAATTATGACAAAGTAGTTTTTAATGACAATTTTTTGTATATATTTTAATAAAATTATTTAATTTTGCTTAGAGTTTTCTAACTAATGTTTCAAGTACAAAAGTTCACAGTGTGATTGTTTTTTTATTGGTCAGATTATATCTGGCCATGGTGTATAAATTTCTTATTTTAAATATGTCTCTTATACTAACTAATGCGATACGTGGATGAATGAAAAATTCGTAGAATTCATGCATTAACATAATCAATCTCATTGAGGGTGCAAAGAGTTTTGAGAACTTTTTCTAAAAAATATGTATCTATTATTACATTTGAAAGTATAGCACCTAAATATTTCAAAAAACAAGTAATACGCGAATTGTTCAAGTTCCTTATAGATCGCTGGGTAAGTATACCAGTATATACTATATACATAAGTTTTATAATTTTCCATATTTTATAATTCTGTATTTTTAATATATGTTTAACTTAGGAACTTTTCTCTCAGCCCTTTCATTCTGCATGACATATGCCGCCTGCACATGATGGTAAGGTGCTCCTAAGTACAAAGCATTGTTTAATCTTATATATACACACATATATGTATGTAAGGCAGTACAGATTAAGTATTTAAGTTATATTCTGTTTGGAAAAACTCATAAGAACAAGAAGAAAAAAATTCCTACAATGCAACAAACACACAAAAAACAAAAACGTAAATCATAAGACCTAATTCCATGTACAACACAACAATTTGAGTTGCTTAAGCGAAACGTTAAGTCTTGGGTTAGATGCGTATCTATGTGATCCACAATATTTTAATCATCGTGCTCCTCGCGAGCTCGTTGCTCCTCTCGTTCCTGCTGCATCCGTTTAAAAGAATTATTGGCCACGTTCTTAAGTGCATCGGCCTCTCCCCCAGTGGCTTCGACCATCTGTCTTAGTACGCCCTTCGATTTCTTGAGCAGTAAATGCGGCACGTCAAATTCTACAGCATTGCCGGCATCCATTACAATAATGCGATCCGAATCCATAACGGTATGCAGCCTGTGGGCGACAGTCAGAACTGTGCAGTGCTGGAACTTGACTCGAATTGAGCGCTGAATCAACGCATCGGTTCTGTGAGAGGACATAGAATTGAATTAGCTAAAATTCTACTCTTACCATATTGTACACTTACTGAGGGTCCACATTGGCAGTAGCCTCGTCCAGCACTAAGACCTTGTTGTTGCGAAGGATCGCACGCGCTAGGCAAAGAAGCTGTCGCTGTCCCACACTGAAATTGCTGCCACGTTCAGTTACCATATAGTCCAGACCGGGAATGGCCGACCGCAGCTCGACCTCTTCGAGGGCTCGCCAGAGATCGGCATCACTGTAGCGCTCGAAGGGATCCAAGTTATAACGAATGGTGGCCGAGAAGAGCACGGGATCTTGTGGTATTATGGAAATGCGGGTGCGAAGCGTCTCCAGCGAGATGCTGCCTGTCTCGATGCCATCTATATAGATGCCACCCTCAATGTAGGCCAGACGAAAGAGTGCTCCAATCAGCGAGGATTTGCCAGCACCAGTGCGTCCCACAATTCCCACCTTCCAACCAGGTTCGATAATTAAACTCAGGTGATTGAGCACAGCTGAGCCATTGGGATCATAGCGACAGCTCATATCGCGGAATTCTACCTGACCATGAGTGGGCCACTGTTGTGATGGCTCCTTGCCGACAGCAGCCGTCTCTTGGTCCAGTTCCGTGTACTGCAGCACTCGCTCCACACTAGTCATTTGCTGCAGTGACTCGCACACCTGCCGCATGCCATACTGCACCATGCCAGTGAGTATCATAGCCTGTGAAATGGCCAGACCAACATTGCCACTATAGGTGCCTGTGAGTGAAAATATTGTATTAGTAACAAACAATCAATGTTTTTGTAACTTGTGAATAATACTCAAGCTCCTCCTGTCAGTCTAATTTAACATTGTAAAATCATTTTTTTATACTTTGAAACTTACTTTCGTTGGATATGATAAAACTAAAGGTCACTGACGTTAGAAAGGCGCAACTGACGCAGTCCAGCCACAGTCCCAATGCCGTATTGGCCGCCATAGTTAGTTGCCAGACGCTGCTGTGCACATCCTGCAGCAGATCAAACTCCTTGGCGACCACATCCTGCAGTTGACGTGAACGTATGATCGAAAGTCCCGTCAGAGACGAGCTTAGATGTGAGAAGACGGGACTGCGGCAAATGCCTTCCAGGCGCTTCAGATCCTGCGAGGGTCGTAGATACAGTTTCAAGATGAGCATATCGATGATAGCCACAACCAGCATTGCAGCGATCAACACAGGATTCACCACAGAGATTACAATCAGTATGCCAAACATGACCAGGGCAATCTGTATAAAGTCCATCATTGCACGCGGCAGTAGCTCATCAATAGCCCCCATATCTTTGGAGAATCGATTGAGTATACGACCCGAGGGATTTGTATCGAAGAATCGCATGGTCGCATGCAATATACAACTGAACATTCGGTCGTGAAGGACCTTGGAGGCGTGCATGCACGTCTTAAAGAACAAAAATCCACGGAATGTTATCATAATCACCACGCCAATGATGAGAGCGCCATAAATGTACATGCACTCATAGGTGCTAAAGGTGGTGGATTTGTTCTGAGATCGCTGATGCTCCTGCTGTGTCCAGATGTTCGAGAAGTAGTCTGAGCTGCTGCACACCACCTGTGACAGCAACATAATGCACACCATGAAACTGAAGCCCAATAAGCTGCTGCCGGCATGGAAATACTCGTACCACACTCGAGGCGATATACTACCCGAAGCTTGTTCCTCGGCCAAGTCATCATCATCGTCTTTTTGTAAGTCCGTTTGGTCGCTGCTCGTCAGCTGTGAATATGAATAAGAATATTTAAAGTATTAAGTAGAATAACAACTATAATGACAACAAATAACAACAAATAATGACAACTTCCTTTAGCTTAATATCACTTTAAGCTACTCAAATTTTTCAAGATTAATATTTTTAAACTGACAATATAGACAAAAATATAAATTAAACAAATCACTTAAGAAACATCAAATATTACCTTAAGCGAACGGAAAAAATAATTCTATTCTTTAAACTTAAATGATATAAATGGATTTAAAGTGAATAATGGAATTAAAATTTAAAATTACGAAATAATAATTCAGTGAAGCTATCTTAAGATATTGGTTTTTTTTTTTAAATTAGATTATATTTTTCAATCATTCAAATTTGTACAATTGATTTGAAATTTATTGCAGTACAAATAAAAAAAATGTTTAACAAAATATCGTTTTCGATCAGCCCTTTGGACGGAAAACGATATTGTATTTAATTTAAATAATCTTACCGACTTGCTACCTTGTGTCGAATTGCTTTGCTTCCGCAATGGGTGATAGCCATCGCGAACCCCATCCATATAGGGTATATCATCATCATCCTCCAAATCTTGATATGAGCTCGATGACGATTGCAAGCCATCATTAGATGTCTCCGCTTCCTTGGGACGCTCCAATAGCTTTGCAAAGTCCAATTCGCTATTGAGAAGGTCAGTATATGTGCCTTGCCTTAAGATGCGACCTTGCTCCACAATAACAATCCAATCGGCCTCGGAGAGGAAATGCACTTGATGTGTAACCAGCACACGTGTGGCCTTCTCCCGAGCTAGTCTTCCACGCGGTCCAATGACTTCATCGAATAGATGTCGCCCCACATGGGCATCCACAGCGCTCAATGGATCATCCAGCAGGTATATCGATGCAGGCTTGTAAACAGCTCGCGCTAAGCTAATGCGCGCTCGTTGACCACCGGAAAGTGAAGCTCCTCGCTCTCCAACAATTGTCTTGTCACCGCTGCTGAGCTGCTGGAAGTCGGTGGTGAGGGCACAGCATCTGGTGACCTCTTGGTAACGCTTGCGCTCGTATTCTTCACCAAAGAGAATATTATTCCGAACGGTGCCAGTAAAGAGCCAAGGCTCCTGCGATGCATATGACAGCTCACCCTGCAAAACAGCGCCACCGTCAACTATGGGAAGCTCACCGAGAAGCAACTGGAGCAGCGAGCTCTTGCCCGCTCCAACCGGACCAATGACCGCACAGAGCTGACCCTTCTGGATCTGCAGGTTAAAACTCTGAAGTGTGCGTTGAGGCTTCTCCTTGTCCCAGCTGGCACTGATGTCCTTAAGAACAATGGCTCGTGTATCTCCCATATCTTGCTTTTTCTTGTGTGTCAATCCCTGCACCTTCTCGTCGCGACCTTCCAGCTGGAGAAAGGCCTGAATGCGACGAAGGGAGACCAGAGCTTCGGCGCCAAAGGTTACCGCAAGCGGATACCAAATAGCCGCCACCAACTGCAGGATGTTGTAGAAACTGGCTGCCGAAAACACAAAATCTGCCGTTATTTGCTGTCCCATTAAAGCGGCTGCAACTAGGGTTATATACAAAGTGGAACGCTCTGTGAATACCATGGTGCTGAGGTAGAATCCACGCAGGTACGAAGCATAGCGAATCTGCTTTATTTCGGATCGTCTTGCTTCGGCGACCACCGCTTGGAAGGGTTTCTCCCAGGCGTACATCTTGATTACCTGTATGCCCTGCACCAGTTCGTTCATGATACCCACACGAGCATCCGTGCGCTCAGCAATCCGTAGTCGAAGTATTGAGGTTAATTTGCTCAACGCCGACTGCAGGGGTACGGTTTTCAGCAGCAATCCGATAACACCAACTAGGGCTGGGATGCCAATGCGCAACCAAATGAGATAACATGTGAGCACCGCATGGAATGGCAATATCCAAATCCAGTGCACAAATATGAATCCATAGTCGAGGCGATTAACATCATTTGAGAGTAGATTAATCAGATAGCCAGCTGGAGTCTGACCCGCTGTCTTCATGGACAACCGAAGGGTCTTCCGATAAATTAACGAACAGCAGGCAATCCGCATTCGAGCACCCATCAAACGTTGACGCAGATCCACATGATGTATAAGGAAGCAGGCAAACAGCGTTGAACCGACCAGCACCGCAGCAAGACTAGAAACATCATTCCAAACGTATCGAAGACCTTCCTCCAAGGCATTCAATTCAGTGATATTGGCTGCTTCCTCTGGGAAGGTGCCTTTAATGTGCTCTTTAAGTGGATCATTGCCATCCAGTGCATTGGGCGAATTAACTGGAGGTAGTCGATAGAAAGATAACTTTAGAACAAGTAAGAATAAGGTAGAAATAGTCGGAGTGAAAAAATATTACTTTCGAATTCGACAATTTACCTTCAAAATTTGGTGACGACGTTAACTTTACACCTCGTGCGGTACGGTTAAGGGCACTTGCAAAATGCTGGGCATCGATTTGGTCCACGCCCGCCACGGGAGACTGTCCTTGTTGGAACTGCAGCAAAAGCTGTGCCAAAATGACGGGTATAAGCGTTCTGAAATATAAAGTATTTAGTCAAAGTGACTACAGTACAAAGCTTTTCTTACTTTATAACAATGTAGACGAAGCAAATAATGCCATTGATTATTGTGGGTCCCTTGAAACAGCGGAACAAAGCATTGCGCAGTCTTGGCTTATGTGACTTGCGATGGGCGTGTTCCAACTCCTTGTACCATTCCCTGTCAAAAGAGAAGGATCAGTATAAGTAAAGTTTGATGATGGATCTCTGCTTGACTTACTCCTCCAATCGGTCGCCCAGCTGCTCGGAGTGATCGTCCTTCAGGCATGCAGTTAGGTCATCTGTAGTGAGGCCTTGTCGCGAACCACGAAACAGCAACGGCACCGCCCAGGCAAATATCAATTGTGACAGGCAGTTAGCCCGTTCACGGGGATTTTTTCGTTCCGGCTTGACGCTACTATCCATCCTGTCATGGGGGCGCTGTTAGCTGCTGTCGTGCGGATATACACAATAATCAAATGAAGGAGTCTGCTGATAATGTGCGCATTCTTATATTATCTCGGGGAACTGCGCTTGACGGGTTGGTCACATCACTCCCATTAATTCCGAGAGTAAACTACATTGACAAAGCTTCCTTATCTCTATGCATTCTTACATACACAGCTGACGACCTTGTACCCAATTCTCTCTCTATCTCTCTCTCTAGCTCTCTCTCACTCTCTTTCTCTGTGCTCAGTAGCCGTACAAAAAAATCTTAGATGATTATTACTTTATTAGTCATAATGAAGTGTCTAGATTCATGTGTAAATAGTCAAGCTGCATAATTTTAAGCAAAAGAACCACATCGAGTCGAATATATGACGAAAGATAACCATCATTTTCGGTCTATCTAAAATTAACTTGCATTGCACACATGATAATTGTATTTTTCCATTTGAGCTTAGCCAATTTTAATTTGTTAGCATTAAACACAAAACCTTTTTATATAACATCGTTAACATTTAGGCTATAGAAATGGGTAAACTCAGTGAATATTCATTAGTTAGCTTTGTAATAAATTTCGTGATAAAATTATATAACCATTTGGATAAATATAAATAAAGATTTGAACTATCTGCAAATTAGCTTAAGTAGGTGATATGGTTACCAAACCAATTGACCGAATTGATCGCTTATCTAGCAGATTAAATATTACAAATATAAACACAAGACGTCAGAAATCTAACTGTATTAGTAAAACATATTCCAACAGAGAAAGGAACGTTCTTTATTTCCAATGAAGTCTATAGCTATTAAAACAGTTGGATAAATAAATAACAAATTACATTACGAATGTGTAAAACCAGATTTAGCTGTATTAATAATAAGATAAGCATATGCATAGTACAAAGGTTATTCGAGGCATAATTCATGATACATGTATACATGTACATACATATATATGTATATATAGTATATATATAGTATAGCACTCGTATCGGTCGTTCACTTAGTTGTTTATTTGTTCAGTCGATGTCTGCAATTGATAAGATGCGACATAAAAGCGTAAATCAAATCGCATCTGGAGACGATGACAATTATGCACGACCCAATTGAATAGCCGTCGTAAGTATGTACATTTATATGTACATAGTATGTATGCAGGTATGTTTATAGACACGCAGCGCACGCAAATAAGTATTTGGGAACATTACGTGAGTGATAACAGGTCCTATGTTTATAGAAGGCAATAAACCAAAGCAAAAGTTGCTGACTCGAATATATTGCCATTTCACTTTTAAAGCAATAAAGCATTTTCAAATTATTAAACTTGGTGACAGGCGACAAAAAAAATAGAATAAATGACTTTGAAGCACCTTTGTGTTAGGGCTTTAAGTTTTATGACGCGTTTTGCTCTAAAGATGGATTTTGGCACGCTATATCATATACTCCTTATTCAATTGAATATTCTTTAATTGTCCGCGAGTGCCTGGTAACTGCAGGCTCTTTGCTTGGCTCAATTCTGTAGAAATAAAGGGTTGGGTATTCCATCGAATCAATGAAGGGACCGACACGACAAGTGCCAGTCGTTTAAATAAATTAATGTTCACCCACAAAGCAATCAATTAATACAAATGTTGTCACGTCAGAGTAGTTAAGACAGAATAAGACAGTCTTTGTATTTGGAGTCATGACAATATATACGCTGTCCTGTTAAGCCGACTCATAAATGCTCTGCTGTTGTCTGTGGACTTTTGATTTTTAGAAAAAACATTGTGTAAATGCAATCGCAAGCTATGAAAAACGCTAAGTAAACTCAAGTAAATTCACATTTGAGTTCAATGAATTCAGCTCAGAATTAATCTGATAAAAAAAAGTATCTAAACACATTAAGTGCTTTGCATAATACTTTTATTGTTTAATTAAAGCCAGATTAATGATAAATATCAATAAAATAGTTGGCAGACACATGTACGTATGTATGTAAATTAACCAGTTAAATTTTTAAATTTCCTAATAAAACTTTAGTTGGAAAACAGACACAAACTGAAATTGATACAAATTATCAATTATTCACAGTTTAGAGCCAGATACATTAACAATTAATAACTAAGCATTCACCAAACCGGGTCATTAAACATGCCGAATGCAAGTATTTCACCACACTTTTTCTCTCTTTTCCACTCTCCGCCTATCTCTCTCTCTCTAGCTCTCTCTCTCTCTCTCTCTCTCTCTTTCACTCTTTGTCGTTCTCTCTCTTTCTCTCTCTCTTTCACTCTCTGTCTTTCTCTCTCGATATCAACAGTTGCTCCAAACAATTCTATTCACACAAATATTTAATCATTTAATTTATTGCAATGAAAAGTGAAAAGCAAATTCGCTTTAGATTGCAACTGCGATTAATTTTTTTTTCTTATACAAATACAAGACATACATACAAACACGCATCGATGTGTTTATAAATATATGTATGTATATGTACACATTTACTTTAAACCGGCGTATCACTGCATTTCAGACACAAGTGTAAACAGACGAGTGATATCGACCAAAGCGTATGCCAACAAACCGCCAAGTAAAGCATTTCGGGAGGGTGCACAAATGTCTTTGTGGGGTGCTCAAAGGGGTGCGAGGTTTGTTGACCGCTGCCGACTACAAGCAGCGGCGTGCTTAAAATATCTCAGCGTCTATTGTCGGAAAGTGAAAAACTTAAAAAACTCATTGCAGAAAATTATTGGACAGACTTAACGAAGTAAGGCGACAAGCAAATATTGATGCACACACAAACTCACAAAAATACTTAACCATACACATATATATATATATATATATGAATCAACAAAAAAACAAGTACATATTTATGTATGTATGTATGTCTGCATAAATATATACATTTTTATATACTGTGAATAAAATGTTGGGTTTTTTACTGACATACCCAGTTGAATAATTTAATTCCGTCAAATTATTTACTTAATTGCTTACACTTATCACTAGACGTATTTAAATAATAGCACCGCTGTATTTTTTGAGTTTAATTGGGAACCACTTGAAGCTTTCGATGTTGTAACACGTGCGAGATGTACACCACCACAATCCAATTAACGAATCCGAAACCGACTCGAGCACCGCCGCGGAGCACAGCTCGTACGCAACTGAAACCAAATGGAACATATTGTTAAACAAATGCCCAATAGACACTTCAATCTCCCCAGTAGGAGAGCGCAAACCATTTGGTTTGGCAACAAGTCGACTCGCACAGCGTTTGGCGGAGAGAATTTTGAGCGGATTTTTGAGAGTACACTTGTGAACAAAATATTGGTACAATGTATTATGTTTTTTTTTTTTCAAAACATATTGATTTATGTATCATTTATATTTATTTTATAGTACATTTAAAATATTAGATAATTATGTTTCGAGCAGAATGATAAATGTATACATTTATGCTTATATTTATTAGTACATTTCAATGATACTTAATATTATTATTATTATTAATATGCTGTACATTTTTATTACATATCCTTTTCACTAAAATGCATATGCAGAGATGTATGTAACTCTATCCTCTTATTCACGGCACAACTTAACAACTTATTTAAAAGTTGATGAATTTATATTTAGGTTACATCATTATTTATTGTTCACTTGTTTATTTACACACTTTTCGAATGTAATTCTGGCTTTTATTTCAACTGATTTACATTACATTGTAATTGAATATTTATGCGGAACCAAAACATTGCAAAAAGGTACACAACAAAACCAACAATTTTGAGTAAATAACGTGACTTTCAAGTAGTAGGAGAAAGAATCAAACTCACAAACTGGCTGCCTGATGGTTGCTTACAAGCAATGTTTGAGCGGTCGGGTCGAACCATTGTCGAAAACGAATCTTCGACAGAGCCGCACAATTTGCATGGCCAGCAATATCGGAGGCGAACGCATTTTCAGTCCACTCAGCGACTACTTTCGTTGGAGTTTAGTTTGTTGGATTTTGCGCATGCCATTAAGGCACACTGGCCTGAGGGACCGCAAAGTAGTCGACAAGTAACTGTCCGATACGAAAGGGCAGGTAGTCGAGCAGTTTTGTCAAGCACTGCACCAAGGTGCCGACGATCTTATCGCGCCTTTGCGAGCTCAAACTCGGCCTCTTCGCTCTTAGCATTTTCATTCGTTGTCTTTGTCGGTTATAAGGCGCAAGCCGGGCAGCATGTCGAATCAGTTCTGTGCTGGCCTTGCCCTTGTCGTACCGTGCCGTGCCGTCGGTTCAGGTTTCGCAGTTAATCACGCATTCCATTAGCCCGCTTCCTGCTGTTGTTGCTGATTGACCTTTGAAGATTTGGTTTAGCAGGAGATGACCAAGCAGCTGTGCCGCGGCGGCCTGCTGCGCTGGATTGTGCAGCTGCTCAGGACGCTGCTACTCCGCATCATGTCTTACTTTCGAGGCGAGCCGCAAACCAACTATGCATGCCATAGCCTTCAAATTGTGCCCAAATTTGTGCCTATACCACGCGTCAAGGGATTACCCCTAGTGGGTACGCTCTACGATTTGATAGCTGCCGGTGGTGCACCACAGTAAGTTCACGAATTGGATATATATGGCAGGGAGGCAACTTGAAAACCCTTTCGTAGATTACACAAATATGTGGATGCACGACATCGCCAGTATGGAGCGATATTTCGGGAACGCTTGGGCGGTACACAGGATGCAGTGTTCGTTTCGTCGGCGAATCTAATGCGCAGTGTCTTTCTACAAGAGGGTCAATATCCGCAGCATCCGTTGCCGGATGCCTGGACATTCTACAACAAGCGGCACGCCTGCCAGCGTGGACTCTTCTTTATGTAAGTGGCGCATGAAATGAATTGCAAATCAATTTAATCCGCAATTGGGAATATCTAATTGGCGCAGGGAGGGCGCGGAATGGCTTCACAACAGGCGTATACTTAATCGACTGCTGCTCAATGGTAATTTGAATTGGATGGACGTGCATATTGAAAGCTGTACGCGCCAGTTAGTCGACAGATGGCAAGCGCAGACAGAGCAGGCAGACAGAGATGGAAAGCACTACGAATTGCCGGACTTGGAGCAGCAATTGTATCGTTGGTCGATAGAAGGTAGGAATATCTTCGTCAAGCCGAGATCGGTTACTTAATTCCAAATTAAAATAATTGTTGGATGGCTCGTAGGTGAGCTATTTGATATGAAAGCTCGTAGTATGTAATATATTGTAAGATATAGCGAGTAACTTAAAAGACGCAACTGCGGAACTAAAAGCAAAAATGGAAATATTTATAAAAGGGCTGATCAATTGTTCCTATAGAATCCATATAACACAATGATAATTATTTTACTGATAAATCTAATCTGGATATCTAGGAACAACTAATTTTTCATATAAAAAAAATTCAAACTATCACCAATTGCTCCTATTGAAGTCCAATCCAAAGATAAAAATATCTCCAAAACTGAACTATTGTTGACTGTTAAGAATCTTGATATTGTATATGTCAGATGATGTCTATTTTATATGATAAAATTTGAATATCCTCTGTAAATGTTCAAAAATTAGGCTCATCCAATAACAAAACTCATCTTTCAGTGCTCTGCGGCATCATGTTCGGCTCCAGCGTTTTGACCTGCCCCAAAATGCAGTCCTCTTTAAACGAATTCACACAGATCGTTCACAAGGTCTTTGAGCATAGCTCGCGACTGATGAACTTTCCGCCCAAGTTGGCGCAGTTGCTCCGCTTACGCATCTGGAGCGACTTCGAGAGCAATGTGGGCGAGGTGCTGCAGCAGGGTGAAGCCATCATAGAGCTGTGCATTAAATCACAGCTCGAGCAGCCACAATCGGAGCAGGAGGAAGCTCTGTACCACAAACTGCAGGCAGCGGCTGTGCCCATCGAGATGATCAGGCGCATTTTCGTGGATCTGGTCATAGCAGCAGGTGACACGGTCTGCAGAACAGCAGCTAATTTCGACTCAATACAATAATTCACTTAATCATTCCCCGCAGACTGCCTTTAGTAGTCAGTGGGCATTGTATGCCCTCTCGCTCGATCAATTGCTGCAACGACGCATCGCCCAGGAACGTGCTGCAGATCAGTCTAAGCTGCTGCATGGCTTGATCAAGGAAACGCTGCGCCTATATCCAGTTGCTCCATTTATAGGACGCTACTTGCCGCAAGATGTCCAAATTGGCGGTCATTATATAGAAAAAGATGTAAGTTTGTCGAGATTGCAAGGTAAATTGCTTATACTAAATTATATTGTAGACTCTGGTGCTTATCTCTCTGTACACATCTGGTCGTGATCCATCACATTTTCATCAACCGCTGAGAGTGCTGCCAGAACGCTGGTTTCTTGGCAACACCGAGCATCAGGTGCATCAGACTCATGGCAGCCTGCCCTTCGCCATTGGTCAGCGCTCCTGCATTGGACGACGCGTGGCCTTGAAACAGCTCCACTCATTGCTGGGCAAATGCGCCACCCAGTTCAAGATGCAGTGTCTCAATCAAAAGCCAGTGGATTGTATCCTGCGCATGGTCACAGTGCCCGATCAGACATTGCGCCTTGCATTAAGGCTCACATCTAAAACGATCGAAACGGCACCAGTCTAGTTATCCCTCAAAATATATTCACGTCAATTTAAATATATATATACATATATATATATATATATATATATATGTATATATCACTTTAATGCACACATAAATATATGTCAATCAGATTTATCTAATTAACCAACAGCCCATGCGTAGTTAGTACTGGTAATTGTATATGTATTCATAGTATATCATGTAGTATATAAAGCACAAAAAAAAACAAAAAAAAATAAACCGTAGTGTTATCTTTTAACAAAAAAAAAAAAAAAAAAAAATACTTAAATAAAGAAAATTAAATATGCTATGGTCGCGAGTTCTTATCCTTGAGAATTCCTGTACCGCGTTCCAACAACCTGAGCAGGTGTTTTTCCTCAATTCCTTCGTTTGGCTGAGGCTGCTGCATTTTATGATAGGAATCACTGGCCACGTTTCGCAGTGCATCGGCCTCCCCTCCAGTTGCCTCGACCATATTTCTGAGAACCCCGTCTGATTTCTGTAACAGCACATGAGGTGCATCAAATTCCACAGCAATGCCAGCATCCATAACAATGATGCGATCCGAATCCATAACGGTGTGCAGCCTGTGCGCGACAGTCAGCACTGTGCAACACTGGAACTTATCACGAATTGTGCGCTGGATCAACGCATCAGTTCTGTAAAACCAAAAATAATTGTGAATATGGCTGAAAGGCTTTTTAGAGGTTATACTGACAGTAGATCCACATTGGCAGTAGCCTCGTCCAGCACCAGGACCTTGTTGTTGCGCAGGATCGCACGCGCTAGGCAAAGGAGCTGTCGCTGACCCACACTGAAATTGCTGCCATGTTCGGTTACCATATAGTCCAGACCGGGAATTGCCGACCGAAGCTCGACCTCTTCAAGAGCGCGCCAAAGCTCTGAATCGCTGTAACGATCAAAGGGATCCAAATTGCAGCGAATGCTTGCCTTGAAGAGAACTGGATCCTGTGGTATTATGGAAATGCGGGTGCGCAGCGTCTCCAGCGAGATGCTGCCTGTCTCGATGCCATCTATATAGATGCCACCCTCAATGTACGCCAGGCGAAAGAGTGCCCCAATCAGCGAGGATTTCCCAGCACCGGTGCGTCCCACCACTCCCACTTTCCAACCTGGCTCAATAGTCAAACTGAGATGCTTGAGGACGGGAGCACTATTGAGATCATAGCGTAAACACATGTTCCGGAATTCCACCTTTCCGTGCTGCGGCCATTGTTGAATGGGATCTTTGTTATCACTGGTCGTCGACTCCTGTTCAAGTTCCGTGTACTCCAGCACACGCTCCACGCTAGTCATTTGCTGCATTGAGTCAGCCACCATTCGCACCCAGTACTGCACCATGCCCGTGAGAAGAATCGCCTGCGAGATGGCCAATCCGACATTGCCGCTGTATGTAACTGCAATTTACAGAATTAATTTATTCAGTCGATGTTCTGGACTGCTTGTTAGCTCACCTTCACTGGAGATAATAAAGCTAAATGTAACTGTCGTGAGGAAGATACAGTTAATGCCGTCCGCCCACAGTCCAAGAGCAGAACTTGTTGACTCTGCCAGCTGCCAGGCGCCACTGTGCACATCCTGCAGCAGATCAAATTCCTTGGCGACCACAGCCTGTAACTTACGCGAACGTATGATCGCAAGCCCGGATAAAGTCGTGGTCAGATGCGAGACAACGGGACTGCGACAAATGCCCTCCATGCGCTTGATATCCTGCGAGGGTCGCAGATACAGCTTCAGTATGAGCATATCGAGGAGACCCAGAACTACAACTGCTGGGAATAGCATGGGATTTACGACCACAATCACAATCAGTATACCACAGATAACCAGACCGTGCTGCACGAACTCCAACATATTTCGCGGTAGCCACTCGTCCATGGTGCCGATATCCTTGGAGAACCGATTGAGAATACTACCCGATGTATTGTTATGAAAAAATCTCATTGACGCGTGTAAGACACAATGGAACATGCGATCATGCAAGACCTTGGAGGCGTGCATGCATGTCTTTAAAAAGAGGAATCCACGGAAGTTGGTCATAATCACCACTCCAACGATGAGAACACCATAAATGTACATGCACTCGTAGGTGGTGAAAAAGGTGAGTCCACCTTGATTCCGCAGGCGCTCCTGCTGCGCCCAGATATTGGAAAAGTAATCTGAGCCGCTGCACACTGCCTGAGACAGCAGCATAATGCACACCATGAAGCTAAATCCCAACAAAGAGCTGCCCGCTTCGAAGTACTCGAACCACACACTTGCTGATACGCCTCCCGTTGCTTGAGTCTCAGCCAATCCATTATACCTTTGGTCAACTTTTTGCTGATCGGCAGCTGAGGACTGTAAGTACGAATCAATGAAATGAGGTATAAGTGAAATAGTAACCGAGGAGATAAGTTAACTTTTTTGTGTTTAAATGTATACCTTGCCGTTTTTAATCTATTAAGTGATTAAGAAATCTAAAAATAACAACTGTTATGACACAATCTAATCATAGAAGGAGTTTATTGGATTTTGTGCAATGGCAGCTAGCTCAGTCAGTCCGAAGATTGAGTCTTAGCCCACAGTAATTAGGTTTCAAGGTGGCCATTTAATATCTTTTTTAGTAGTTATTATACTGTATGCAGAGTAGTACACAGTCGGTTACTTTCGACTGCAGTTTCGACAGTTTCCACTTGTTTTATATTAGATTAGATAAGAGCTAATAGTAAACTAACCTTCCCCAAAGATTAAAACAATTTAACAGACACTATAGCTCAAGTCGCATGGCAAATGCGGAGGGCAAAGTCAAGACTGGTAAAGGAACTTCCTACTCCTAAGTCAGCATATAAGTTAAACTCACCAATTTTTTGCACTGAGTGGCTTCAGTCTGGCTCTGCTTTCTTAGTGGTTGCAGGCTAATATCACCTTCAATTTCCTCATCTTCGTCCTGATCTTCGATTTCACTTAATGGGAGTGATGGTGTCTCGTGTTCAAGACCTTCCACATCGTTGGGACAATCGAGTAGCTTGGCAAAATCCAGGTCGCTGCTGCTGATTTTCTGATACGTGCCCTGAGCCAAGACTTGACCCTTTTCAACAATTATAATCCAATCAGCCTCGGATAGAAAGTGCACTTGATGGGTGATCAGCACTCGCGTGGCCTTCTCCCGAGCCAGGCGTCCACGTGGTCCAATGATCTCGTCGAAGAGATGTCGTCCAACATGGGCGTCCACAGCGCTCAATGGATCATCCAGCAAGTAAATTGATGCATTTTTGTAAATTGCTCGCGCCAAGTTAATACGAGCTCGCTGCCCACCGGACAAGGAAGCTCCATGCTCTCCTAAAATGGTGTGATCAGCTGCGCCCAGCTGCTGGAAGTCGGTAATGAGAGCACACGACTTGGTTACCTCCAGATAGCGTTCTTGATCGTACTCCTCACCAAAGAGAATGTTATTCCGGACGCTGCCTGTGAAGAGCCATGGCTCCTGCGATGCATAGGAAATCGTATCGTTTATAACAGAAGCACCATCAGTGATAGGCAATTCTCCCAGCAGAAGCTGGAGCAAAGAACTCTTGCCTGATCCAACTGGACCAATGATGGCGCAAAGCTGGCCCTTTTGTATCTGTATATTTAAATTGCGAAGTGTTCCTTGTGATTTCTCCTTGTCCCAGTTGGCGCTAATGTTCTTTAAAACAATAGCTTCTTCACCATTCTTCTGTAGAAATTGTGTTTCCTCATCACGTTCCTCATGTTGCAGAAACGCCTGAATCCTAGTAAGTGAGACGAAAGCCTCCGCGGCCAAGTTGAAAGCCAGGGGACAGTAAACGGCCGCCACAAGTTGTAATATATTATAGTAAATTACCACGGAGAAAACAAACTCGGCAGTGATGCCTCGGCCCATGAGAGCAGCAGCTGCTAAAGTAATAAATAATGTAGTGCGCTGTATGAAGAATCTGGTCGTGCGCTGAAATCCGTACAGATAGTTGGCGTATCGAAGTTGTTTGATCTCGCGACGTCGAGCCTCTGACACAACGACCAGAAAGGAGTTCTCCCAGGCATACATTTTAATAACCTGAATGCCCTTCATAAGTTCATTCATGATTCCTACGCGCACATCCGTTCGCTCTGCAATGCGTTTCCGTAGTGCTGAGGTCAGTTTGCTCAGCGCCATCTGCACGGGCACAGTTTTCAACAGTAGTCCACCGACTCCAATAAGAGCGGGGAGACCAATTTGCAGCCATATAAGGTAACAAGTGACCACCGAATGGATGGGCAATATCCAGATATAATGCGTGAACACTAGAGCAAAGTCCAGTCGGCTTACATCATTTGACATGAGGTTTATCAGATGACCCGCCGAGGTAGATCCCGCCGATCGCATGGACAGTCGTAATGTCTTGCGATAGACCAGGGAGCAGCAGGCAATCCTCATTCGACCACCCATCAGACGTTGACGCAGATACAGGTGGTGCCAAAGAAAGCAAGCTATGAAATTTACAGCCACCAACATGCCTCCAAGTCCATAGACATTGTTCCAAATGTCAAAACTTGTATTCGATGCGTCAGAGGCAGCAGCTTTGTCCAGCGAATAGGATGAGTTGCCTATGTAAATTAGCAAACAAATAGATCAGTTTTTAAATAACTATAGTAAATCTCTTTATTTTCTGTTTTCACATTATTTTTCAACCGATTATTTTCTACATGTTCTTAGCCAGGAAAACCATATAAGTTCTTTATAATAGAACTCACCTATCGTTTCTAAAATAACAATGGAATAATGATACTGGGCTACTACTGATAAGGTTTTGCATTAATGCTTGTTTCGTAATAAAGTTTGTAATCGGGGAGTAAGATAAAAAAAAATTAGAAAATAAAAAATACAATATATTATTCTTAACATTTGTAACTGATGAATTTGTTCATGATCTTGAATACAAAATGATATCCAACAGATTGCAGATATAGGTTTATAATATTTAGTTTCGATCCGATTGAATCTGACTTATACTACCTTCTTTGGCCTAAAGCCGACAGATGCAATGACGGGCATGACTGCATCGACTCACCTCTTGACGCCAACTTAATTTATGTAATATGAATTTGAGATATGTTATATAATGTAATAGATAAACTTGTAGCCACTACTTACTATATACATCAGTCGCAGACGCATTTATATTAATGCCCTCCGGAGAGGTGCTATTAAGTACACTGGACAGCCCACTGACTTTCAAAGCTGCATGTTGCAGCTGCATCAAAAGCTGGGCTAAAATTGCAGCTGTTAGCATTCTACAAGAAGAGTCGTCTTTAATGAAGTCTGCAGGTTTGATTAAAACGTTTGACTTACTTGAGTGTAATGAAAATAACGCATAAGACTCCGTTGATAATAAAAGGTCTCCAAAAGCATCTAATTAAGGCATTTCGCAGGTTCGGTTTATGCGACTTATTTCGAGCACTCGACAGCTCCTTTTTCCACTCACTAGTTTTGACAAGTAGTTAAGCCCTTAAAATAGGATAACTTTCAAAATACTCACTGATTCAGACGATTTCCTAAGTGCTCTGAGCGATCTGCTTTTAGGCATTCCGTTAGATCAAGTGCAGTGAGACCTTGTCGCGATCCACGAAACAACAATGGGACGGCCCATGCAAATATTAGTCGAGATATAAAGCTCGCCTCTTCACATGGATTTTTGCGATCCGGTTTGGTGCTACTATCCATTTTGTTGTATGTTAACGCTAGTCTGCGTTAGCATCTGGTTGGTGCTCGCTGTATAAAATGCGGTCTGATTTTAATAGGAAAACGCGACCGAATTATCTTATCATACGTGCTGAATGCGAAAATTCTACAATCTCCTTGTCGTAAATGCAATTTAATACAATCTCACCACATAATCTTCGGGTGGAGCGCAGCGCGAAATACTTACTCTCTATAGGTGTAAAGAGCATGAAATAAAGAAATGAAATAATAAAGAGACTACGCAAAACACTGAAAAACTCTCTCTCACATAGTCTCGCTCCCTTGATTATGGTCGTGGTTCCGCATCATTCACCTGAGTGCCCGATGTGAGCAAAATTAATTTTGTACATATACATATTGCTTCTTGGAATTTTAAATTTAATGTATTGTATATTTTACATAGACATGTTTTTATTTAATGACACACGCAAGAAATTTATTTCAGTTTTAGCGCCCCGCAATTTTACAAAAGATGTTGATTTTTCACTGTTCATGAGACACAAAAGTTATGTTCGATGAATTAAGGATGACCTTATTTGGAGATATGTAGCTTGTAAATATTTTTGTCATACCGCAACCTATTGGATTTTTTTAGAGCACAGCATTTCAAGCTGTTAAGTAGCCGGGAGCACAGTACTGTGCAGCAGCGAGACTTCGACTGAAACAATATAAATTATATATGTACATAGTGCATATACACATTTGTACAGAATTATGAGTCGCCAACCACTCATGATAACGAAAGTATTCTCAACAAAACTTTGTTTATATGATTGAGAGCAAAAAAATGTGCAATGAAGCAATTTTTTCACTCTCAACAAAATATCGCACAATCACTGAGCGTAAATATACGGAGAATGCTTACTTATATTGAACATATGAGTTAATGGATTTGATTAGCCGAGCGAAAGATTCGTTTCTACATCGTGAAATAGTACTCAATCTTAAGCGAGAGGCATAAGATACAAACTCTCAATATGAACAGAGATAAGACCTATGAAAGGTTTTGTTTTACGAAAATGCCAAATCTGAATCATATAAAAGTTTACGGCCCGCCTGTCGGACGATTACAACCGCTTCACGTGTTCAGAGGCGTAACAATAGATAAGACAGCAAACAAATTATAAAAAGATTATAATAATTTTAATTCAATAATTACATCAACGAACTTTTTAAGACAACACCGCCAACAAAATGCGATACATCAAGAACACAACACACAAAATGAGAATTCCAACTGAGGGAAAACCACACCAAAAGTGTCCAAAACATAGTGATATTGCCATCAGGCAAAGTGAGGATATAGAGGCAAGTGGACGTAGACTGACGCGAGCGGGTAGCTGCTTCTCATAAAATTCCACATTTCCGCTACTCTTTTCAAACCACTTTTCCGTCATGGGCGCGCACAGCATTTGTCGTGCCAGCTTTCCAAAAAAGTCTTCGCGCTCGTAGCAGGCTTCCAAGCGGCTACCAAACTGAATGGGATTTCATATCATTATTAACTGTGTCATGATGTATATTAGTGTGTTGAACACTCACCCTTTCGTTGATACTCTCTGATATGATGTGCAGCACTTTCACCAGCGGCTTAATCTCATTGCTCTTTATGGGCAACAGCGCAGGATCGACGGTGTCCAGCATGTTTGACGCGTTTAGCGACATTTGCATCGGTGTCAGTTTTGAAGAGTTTATACTATTGTTTGGATCAAAAAAGCTAAAGTTTTGCGATGAAGGCGAGGCCGTTGGACTGGCCTCCGTTTGCAGTGATTCGTGCATAGACAACGACTCCTGATCCACCTTTTGATTTGCAAAGATTGTGTTATTTCAGATAAATAATCAAAATATAAAGCAACTTACATCAAAAGTCCGACAGAAGGCATCTATACATTGACGCAGAACCTCTGGTATACGACTTATATCACGCAACGTTAACTCGTCTTGTGAGGATTCGCCAATGAACTTTTTGAAGAGATTTTTAAGATAACCCTCCGACCGTTGACGTTCCAAAATTTCTTTACGTAGCGCACTAATGATATTCGTTAGCACAGAATTTCGCACCATGCTGATGAGATATAAAAAATTATGAATTTTCATATGCATGGACTCGCTAAATAGCTTGGGCATGTCGGAGCTAACCGATGGATTCCACTGCGCATTGTACGAGTTGTTGAGGGATTTGCTGCAATTGGGAAATCAAAATCAATGATGGTTATTCAAATTTCGTTGCAATGAACCTGTTTATCATGAAACGTAGGTCTACAATTTTGCAGCACATTGAAATTAAAGATTTACACTTGTGACACTAAGAAAATAATTAACGAAATCTGGGTTCAAACATACTTCAACATATTAACCTGACGCTGCGGTGAATCAACGCCATAGTTATGGCCCGTGTGCAGTCGCTCAAAGCGCTGCAGACGCTGAACTAAATCCTGCTGTGAAAAAGTCTTGACCAGTCGATGCAGCATGTATGCATTGCGATAAACGGTGTAATCCAGGCGCTCAAAGCGCGGCAGCAGCAACATAAAGATGTGAGTGTAGACAATCAGATTGTCCATGATGAAACCGTCGAACGCGTTCGTAATAGGTGGCTCATATAAAACGCCCACGCTGCAAAAGAAACTAACTTATTGACCATGCAAATCTTTCCAATAGTCGAGTGTAACTTACGTCCTGTGGTTGTTGGAACCCAAAGTGTAGCGCCAGGGCTGTATGTAGCTGAGCCAAAGCTCCAGCACAACGCTCAGAGAGGAGTCCAACGGCCATCGGTCGATGAGACTGCAGAGAAAGCCATAAATACTCACCTTGACCATGGTTAGAGATTGTTTGCGGAGCGCACACAGCGGACTGTGATCCACATGCGCTGCATTGGCAAAGAAATGAATTTGCTTGACGAGCGTGCGCACTCCTCTGACGAAATCACTGCTGGGCAGATGATGCTCCGACTCGATGTCATAGCGCAGCCAGATGTCCACAAAGAAATGCAGCACGGACTCGGAGCGCCAGACGTGGGCACGGCATGTAGCGTCACTGCTGTCCACTGATTGGGGTGAGGTGTTACCGCTGACAGCACCGCTAGCATTGTTGTTGCCATTCCGATACGAACTGGGTAGTTTGAGATAACGCAGCTTACGCTGTGGCTGCAACGCCTGTACGGGCATCTGTTGCGGTGCCTTTACGCTACTGGAGAAATTGGACGGCTCGATGCTTGCGTCCGGATACTGTGGCAGAAAGTTGTCCAGGTACTCGGTGGCCAGGTACTGATAGATAGTCTTTGTGCGCTCATTGTGTATCTGCATCGCAATGGGATTGATGGTGTGCAGTGGTTGTAGGGCGTACAACGCAAAGTGGAATATGTAAAAGTCGAAGGCATTGAGGGACAGCGTGCTCACTTGATGCTTGAGCGGATCGATGTTGATCAGATCCGCATAGAACATTGGACCTGCCTGCAGCATGCCAATGAATTTGCGCTGCAAAGGACAGTAGAAGAGTTATTTCGCAGCCAATGGCTTAAGCTTCTACTCACCGGCAGTAAATGGATATCAATATCGAATTTGGTTGTCTCGTTCAAAAGCCGGTGACAGACGTGCATCCAAATGCCGTTGACACCAAAGAAATGCTGCAGTCTGTTGAAAGAATGCGATGCATTCTCCATGGTCGTAATCCGCAGTCCCCATCCCAAGGGGTTGCCATTAATGCCGAATATGGAGTGCACGATGAGCGGGTAAATTTCCTGGATTTGCCGCACGGTGCAACGCTCAAACAAGATCTCCAGCTGCTGCAGCTTATTCAGCAACGGCAAGCCGAGCACTGTCAGTATGTGGCTCTGAGAGATCAAGCATGTATTAAAAATAGTATATCAATCATAGCGTCTGTAAAATCAGAAATACTCACATTTAAGTTTTCTGGCGGCATGGGCTGATACATGTTGTCGGCGCTTTGGGTGACTCTCAAACTGTACTTGCATTACCAGACACGGCGTTGCCACCTTGTGATTGTTATCGATTGAACGTGTGAACGCTGGTATTAGTGGGCTATTATTTATTTGCCTGCTTTCCGCATACGGTTACACTGTCTGCAATTGCAGCCGGCTTTTGTTTTGGTAATATTTTGGAAGTGTGCATTTTAGTTTGTGTAATTTCTGAGCTTCAAAATGAAACGGCGCAGTCAAACGCAGGCACAGGCCGCCAAAGAGGCCAGCAAGAAGCCCAAGGAAAAAGCTGGTGCACTCACCTTGGCCCAATTCAGCTCAGATGTCATTTGGCAGGTGGGTGCTCTCTGCTTAACCAAACGTTTACAAACTCAAGTCAAAAACTCTAACTTTGTAGCTAGCATCGCAGTACTGGTCACCGGAGTCCAAGTCCGAGCATTTGCCGTACAGTGCGGATATCATCGAAACAATATACGCCGATGAGATAACGAGCGGAAAGAACAGCGCTCGTCGCATTAATATGCTGGAATTCAGCCAGTACCTGGAGCAGTATTTGTGGCCCAACTACAAGCGAGAGACGGCGACTCACGCGCATCTTATGTCCATAGTGATCATGTCGAACGAGAAGTTCCGCGAACGCGTCGAGGTTTGGAATGTGTTCGAGCAGTTGCCAGACCAGTATCCGGCATTCTTTCGCCACGTGCTGAACTCCTGCTTGCCGGACCAGGCAACAAAGAAATCCAATAGCACGCTGCGCGAGCGAACTGCGCTGCTCATGTTCTTGAATCACTGTTTCAACAGTATGGAAATCGAGCTGTGTCGCGAGCAGGCCAAGCGACTAGTCTCCCTCTCCATGTGGCACTGCCTGCAGCCACGTAAGTACAACATGACGGAGTGCTTTAGACAAGAGTGTCCGACTAAGAGATACTCTGTATCACACAAAAGAACATATCATAAGCTTTGAGACAGAAGACTGTAAAAAATAGTCTCTCGAATAACTTTAATATTTTCGAATCTTCACAACAGCCTAAATAGTTTATTTAATAACATGAATATTGTCCGATCGTTATAACATACTTAAATACGTGTGCCAAATATGCCTTAAATAAGAATACTACTCGATTCTAAAGCGAGTGAAATTAATTATTTATCTCTAAGATCAACTTAAACGGCAGAAGTCATAGACAATCTTAAAAATGTAACCTGCATATGATAATCATAAGTCAACACTCCACGATAGACAAATGAATCGAATCAGTGCGGAAAATGTCTATAATAATAATACTATATAAGAAGTCAGCCTCGTTGTTCGGTTATATTGTGCTTAATATTTTGTGATGAGCATATGCATAATTAATTTAAGGTTGAACAAGTCTAGGTAAAGTTTTATTTTTCATTATTTCTTTTAGGTAGACGTGAGCAGGAGCTGCGGGACGTACCCGAATGGCGCAAATATTGGAAGCGCCTGCAGAAAAAAGAGAAGGATAACACCAAGCCAGATTTAATGTGGGAACGTCACTTTATGCAAAACCTCATCATTGATTTCCTGAACATACTGGAACGCATTCCCGCTGAAGGCGAACTCAACAGAAACGTGGTACACTACTGCGAACGCTTTCTGGAGTTCATTATCGATCTCGAAGCGCTGTTGCCCACTCGCCGCTTCTTCAACACTGTCCTGGATGATTGTCATCTGATTGTGCGGGCTCTGATGAGTCCGCTGGTGCAGCGCGAGGAGGGAAAACTGTTTGGTCAGGTATGTTGTCAGACTTTTGTTTGTTTAATTTGTTCGGTTATAAATAAGTTGGATTTTAAGTACAATTTCCAATGTTTAACATTGTTAAACTACAAAAACACTTAGCATAGCTACGAATAGATCTTACAACTAATTGATACCAAATGGCCCTTTTTCAACTATAACTTGGCTGTTGCCCATTTTGAGTCTAATTTAAGTGGACGATCTTAATAGTCGTTGCCATTCATATAGTGCAGCTCGTCGCCCCAATCGTTCGTTGATGGGGGCTCATTGTAGCAGCAGGACTTTTTCAGCAGAAAGGTCACATGACGCTGCCGGAGCACACAGATATATAGCAGCAGTGGTGCCTGGAACGCATTCACTATGATATGCGCATAGAGCAGGCCGTCCAGGGCCAGCCAGGACATGGTGAGGAAGAGCCAGGCAAACGACATGACCAGCAGCATCAGCGAGAACATGATGAAGCTGCGAAACCATAAAAGATTAATTGCCAACATGCTGAAGACGTGTACATATATCATCACTTACTTCGCCTTCAGCTTGTGCGCTATGCGTCCGTAGACAGTGCGTCTATTAATCAGTTTCTGTGTGGTCACATAGAAGAAGATGTTTATGATGATGGTGCATGCAATGGGTGCAAAAAATATGCATATGCCCAGCCAGCCAATTGTCTGCTGCTCGCCCCGCATATTCTCCTTCTTGTACGAGTCAGCATCCAAGAAGAAATGGGCAAAGACCGCCAGCACAGCCATCGTAGCCGTGCAGCCCCAGGCATAGGCTGAATAGTAGCAATATTTGCGACCATCTGTGACGCGTAGAAACACATTACGCGACCGAAACGTCTTCCATATGTAATAGCCAAAACTGTTCAGCCAGAAGAAAGCAGCCAGCAGACTAAAACACAGTATAATGTCTGCCACAATGAAGCTGACGTGATTTGTAAAATCCGTAAATATGCAGACAAGATCCGCCGCCTGGCTGACCATCAAGCACATGGCAATTGTCGTCACTATATTTCCAACCAGATCTCTGCTAAAGAAAAATACAATAAAATAAATAATAATAAGCCATCTAAAAATAATTATAATTATGCAAAGGCATAATCGTTGATCTGCGATTCGTGGTCCCAGCTATTTAGCTTTTCTTTCCTCTATTCTAACTCTGTCTGCATCCAGTGCATTTATGCATCAAACGATGCTCACCTTAGCGTGGGTAATATGAAGTAAACGATGGCAATTATCAGTAATATAATCAGCGATATGCCGTGGAATATGGGATTGAGTATTTTGCGCAACAAAAAGTTGGACTCGTTCCAATTGTTCTCCTTTTTGGCTAAACAAATATGGGCAAACAGGCTCTGCTTATGCTCTGGTGAAATAGCCTGTAGAATATATAGGATATCAAATTAGAATAAGAACTTCAGTTTGCATAAACTGTATGCGAACCTTATCCAAGCAATACTGTCCATGCTCGTAGTCATAATAACGCGGCTTGTTGGCCTCTGCGAAATCCTCGTCGTAGTCCGTTTGGACTCCATGCTGCCCGTCGGCATCGCCCTCGGCATTGGTGTAATGTCTCAGTTTGCCATCGTCCAGCAGTACCAGTTTATCGTAGCTCTGCAACAGAAAGGGATAGTTAAACACATTTCCATTTGTGATGGTATTTGTTTAGTGCTTACCCCCGCATAGTCCAAAACATGCCACATCTGCTTGATGCCACAGTTGGGCACACCTATGACGAACTTGAAATTCGCCACTGGTCTGTTCTGATCGCCGCTGTAGCTGGTGAACATGGGCTGAAAATAGTCTGTAAAGAGCATATGTGGAACAATAATGCATGTGTGTGAGATCACTTCAATTGGCGGAGAGAATCAAACAATGCCCAACAATAACGAACAAAGCCAATCATAAAACATCCATCCAAGTCTATAAATATTAACAATGCACAACCAGAACGGAAGCCACGTTGTGATGCATCACAAATCCAGTTACAGATACGGATTCACCACATACCAATGCCATTAAGCAATTGATGCTCAGACATTTTGCAGTCTCTGCGAATTGTGTTAATTTCGTATGCTTCCATTTGGATTATTATGCTTGCTGCTTAAAACTGTTGGCAAAACTATGAAATAGTGATTCATTGGCATTTACATCATACTTATGATTCAACTACTTCTCTAATTTGCATGCAGATGAGTCTGCTTGTGATCTAATAATGTGACAGCTGTTTACTAAGTAGTTATGGCCTTAACACTATCGAGTTCAAAATCATTCAATTGATACTAATAAATAAATAAATATTTATTGATACATTTTTCCCTAGTCACAGTTATCTTTATTAAATTTTCTTTTAATGTTTAACAAATAATGACAAGTGTGAAATAATTTGCACAACAATTTATCAGCTTGTAAGAAACAGTATTTAGATAAACAATTGAGTACAAGATAACATTATATAATTCTTAGTTCTTCTAAAACTAGAATTTAATGAAAGAATTCACGTAAAATAACAGGAAATTTCCACATCAAAGATAAATTATATCCCTAAACTAACATTTGACTCTTCGAACTTGGAATAAATATTTGTGCAAATAGCAGAAAAAATAGTCGTGTTGATATTGATTCAAAACTTTGCTACCAATCTAATAAATATTTAACGAATTTATTTTAAAACTGCTGCCATATGGAACTGAATGAATTTAGACGTCAAGCATATGCCATTCACCCCTAGACGACACTGAGTGCCAAGAGTCTGCTGGATAATGAATTCCCGCACACTTTCCCCACATAAATCATAAATCATGATGGCTCTGTTTGTTTTTAAAACAATGAAGGGGATTTTTCGGCAGCAGCCAATGTCTCTCTTTGCACCATTGATTGCCAGTAAATGGGCCATTAAATGTTGGGCATATGTTGCATGCCAAGAGTCAAAAATCCAATAAAGTTGAATGGCCAAGCCAAGCCAAGCCGGCTGTGGCCGAGTTCAGCTATTTGTACGACTGCCGTTGCTAATGGCAACAGTCTTGTTTTGGTATAGTGCAGCGATTTATGGACCTGTTCAAGCCGATTGTAGCTTACCAGTTTGGTTAACCTGCTGACACGTATTGTTCACGTGTATCTCGAACTTCTCACAGCACTTGTTTACCAGCACCAGACTGGGATCATGGGCTGCCGGCACAGGCGCCGGCATTGAGCTGTTGTTGGCCACATGAGCGGTGATAGCACCGGCTTGCAGTGTGGCCAGCAGTGTTAGCAGAAGGCAGCTGCCTCTGCCCAGGTATGCCAAAATTTGCGCGCCAAGCGTTTTTACGAGCATCTCGCACGACAACACTGCCGCAGCTACAGATACACCTACAGCTATAGCTACAGCTACAGATACACCTACAGATTCAGATACACGAACTCGTAGCTGTAATCGTAATCGAATGCGTCATCAAAGCAATGGCTGATGCCGGTTTCGATCCAAGATCATGACTTGCATGCCAAAAACTAAAGCAGCCAGACAAGCGATAGTATTTTATCTTCTTCTTTTTTTGGAGAGTTTAACACTATTAAGTTTTTGTTTAATGCTGAACGTATCAGATCGTATCACACAGTCCATAAAAAATATACACGATACACCATTTCTTATTTGCTAAACAGTTTTTGTTTGCATTTTTATGCAGTCAGCGCACAAATTCCAAAAGAAAACGAACCGCTTCGACCGACTACTGACTGAGAATGAGACCCGGACTGAGAATGCGAATGAGTCTCGGTTGCTCTCTCTCTCCCCTCTCCCTCTCTCTCTCTCTCTCTCAGTCTTACTCTCTCCCTCGCTCCGACTCTGACTCTGACTCTGACTGGCGCTCTTAACTTCTAGTTACTAGCGGAAACAGAAACAGAGAGCGGCAGCAGCAGTTGGCATTGGCTAAGTGTAGAGTTCCATTCGCCTGCCTTTTCTCTTTTGCTCTTTCTCTACAGGCAGCAGCAACCACCAAGTCAAACAAAGCGTTGAAGCAGGGCTTTGAGGCGAACACTCTCACATTCATACATATATATATATATATATAAGCAATGCTTTTTCTTCTTTTTTTTTGTTGTTTAAATTGAACGACGGAAATTATCAATTGGAGCAAAACAGGCTACTCAAAGAACCGGCAAACCCGAGTATGCCTGTTTGTGTACTGTGTATATATGCTTATATATGTATATATATATACATGTGTGTGTGTGTGTGTGTGTATGTGCCCCGTTGTTTGTTTTTTGTCTGGCCGTGTGATGATGTGATAAGACACCAAAGTACTTCATCTACTGCGCTCGTCTGTGCATCCCAGCAAACCGCAACGGCAACGGCAATCGCATCTGCAACTTCAACTGTAGCAATTGCAACCCTCGCAGCAATTTAAAACGCGTGCCTTGTCTTTCACTGCACCCCACTTGTCAGCACTTGGGATCAGGAGCTGGAGGCGAAGCCCTTGTCATTTCACACCTACACACATATATACATATAATGAATGCGTATTAGGAATATATCTCTCTCGAAATAAAAGATTTGGTGATATAATGAAATATGGTTTTAGTAACCGAAAGTACATATGAACAATAGATTTCTTAAAATAAGGTGTTTCTTTTAGTAACACTGCATCCAGTTTGAAATTTCCGCCACACTGATTGCCCTTCGACCAGCCCAATAAGGACTTCCATCTGCTATGGGCAAACTGCTTTTTGCTGACATTTAATTAACGTTCTCGCATGGTCACTCCCTCTCTCTCTCTATCTCTCTCTGACGCTGACTGGAAAGTTAAGTCTGACAACTTGTACACTTTTCAAACACACGCACAGGGCCTAAACTGATGACGTATCAACCAGACGCGACTGTCACAAACTGGCTCTTAGCTTAGCAAGTTCTCGCTAGCATCATGCTACCTGTGCTGCGGGCAAAAGAGAGCATTACTTGTGTGTGTGTGTGTTTGTAGAATTTGAAATACAGGTAGTGGCAGTAAAAAATATGTTCCATTCAATGCACGCGGTGCGGAGGCGTACAGGAGCGGTTCAGTAAAATCAAGTTTTTACTAAGAATATTCTGTATTAAATTATGCACTTAAATATGAGATTGTCTAGGTTGACTGACTCTTGGAGGAGCAATCAGCAAGCCAAACCGTAAATTGCATTTATCGTTAATATTATTATTGTTTTAATAAATTTATTTATTCATATTTATTACCCCAGTTTTATGATTTTATTTAAATGTAGTTATTCAGTTAATAATTTGTTCACTTACAGCTGTTGGATATGCTGAAATTCTACACACGCTTCGAGATCAACGATGTGACAGGCAACTCACTGACCGATCATGACATGACGCAGCTGCACTATAAGAAGATCACGTCGTTGCAGCGTGCTGTTTTTGCCAAGTTCTCCACACTGCGCGTCTTTGCCTTGTCCAACGTGGCAACGGTGGACAATCGCGATTCATTGGAGAAGCATTTCGGTGCTCTGGATGCGGAGGGACTCAAACAGATTGCCACATTTCTTAATCTTGTGCCAAATGAGGCGGTCGAGCCATTTCAATGGCATCGCTTGGATGAAGAGTTTCTGCGTGAGTTGCTTATTACGCGACATGAGAAACGCTGCTCACAGCTGGAGGCGCTCAATGAAATGCCACTGTATCCCACGGAGCAGATCATTTGGGATGAGAATGTGGTGCCATCGGAATACTACACGGGAGACACCTGTCTGGCTCTGCCAAAGCTCAACTTGCAGTTCCTCACGCTGCATGATTATTTGCTGCGCAATTTTAATCTATTCCGGCTGGAGTCCACCTATGAGATACGTCAGGACATCGAGGATGCCGTCAGTCGTATGCTGCCCTGGCAGTCAGAGGACGGTGACGTCGTCTTTGGTGGATGGGCACGCATGGCGTTGCCCATTGCCAGCTTCGCTGTTGTCGAGGTGGCCAAGCCGCATCTGGGCGAGAAGAAGCCATCACGCGTGCGTGCCGATGTGGGCGTGACGCTCTCAGTGCGTCGTGAGATTAAGGATGAATGGGAGAACCTGCGCAAACACGACGTCTGCTTCCTGATCACAGTGAAACCCACACAGCCCTATGGCACCAAGTACAATCATAGGGAGCCCTTCATACCACAGGTTGGCTTGGTCAGTGTGCGCGGTTGCGAGGTGGAGGGCATGCTCGACCCCAATGGCCGTGTCATCGAGGACGGACCAGAACCAAGACCGATGCTGCCGGGTGAGCAGCGGAGCTATCGTGTGTGGCTCGACTCGAATCAGTATCGCATGGACATGGATGACTTGCAGGAGGTAAGTGTCATCATAACTGCTACTGACGAATAAATATTTTGCATAGGATCGTTAACACCTTGTGGCAATATTTAAATGCTTGGAAAAAAGTTTCAATCTAATACTTAATCATCCGTTAAAAGGGCGCTGACGATGTCTACGAGAGCTTCAACATTTTGATGCGTCGCAAGCCCAAGGAAAATAATTTTAAAGCAGTGCTGGAAACCATTCGTCATCTGATGAATACGGAATGTGTGGTACCACCGTGGCTGCATGATATACTCCTTGGGTACGGTGATCCGGCCGCGGCGCATTACAGCAACATGCCTAATCAAGAGCGCAGCCTTGAGTTCAATGACACGTTCCTGGACTACGAGCACTTAGAATCCAGTTTTCCCGACTATGAACTGAAATGCGAGCAAGCAGTGGGCAAAAGGGAGCCGCCCTACCGCCTCATCTTTGAGGATGTGGCCGAGCAGCGAGACAGTGATACAGAGGAGATGCAGGCAGAACAGCCAGCTGTATCCAAATCCATTAAAGTGCTGCCATGCAAATACGAGGCAAGAGGTCCCTATCCCAGCGACAAGCCCAAACAGTCAGTACCAAATTCAAAACTAAAGTATTTTAAATATCACATCACATTTTTTTCGTAGAAACTGCATTCGCTTCACACCGACACAGATCGAGGCTATACGCGCTGGCATGCAGCCGGGTCTTACTCTGGTGGTGGGTCCACCCGGCACGGGCAAAACTGATGTTGCCGTGCAAATCATTTCGAATATCTATCATAATCAGCCCAGTCAGCGGACGCTGATTGTGACGCACTCCAATCAGGCGCTGAATCAGCTTTTCGAAAAGATTATGGCTCTGGACATCGACGAACGGCATCTGTTGCGTCTGGGTCATGGTGAGGAAGCACTAGAAACAGAAAAGGACTATAGTCGCTATGGTCGCGTCAACTATGTGCTGGCAAAGCGCATGGATCTGCTCAGCCAAGTGCAGAGGCTGCAGGAGGCGGTCGGTGTTAGCGGCGACAATGCCTACACCTGCGAAACGGCAGGCTACTTCTACTTGTATAATGTAATGGCTCGTTGGGAGAAGTTCCAAAGCCAGATGGACGTACATAGTGCTGAGACGGATAGGGACAAGCTGTCTTCAGTATTTGAAACCGAGTTTCCCTTTAGCAAATTCTTTTCGGATGCGCCACAGCCACTTTTTAAGGGTGACAGCTTTGAGGAACTCATGAACATAGCACAGTCAAACTTTCGCTACATTTCTGACATATTCACGGAGCTTGAGGAATTCCGCGCATTTGAGCTGCTGCGTACGGGCCTGGATCGCTCCAAATATTTGTTAGTCAAGGAGGCCAAGATCATTGCCATGACCTGCACACACGCGGCACTTAAGCGCAAGGAGCTGGTGAATCTGGGATTCCGCTATGACAATATACTGATGGAGGAGTCAGCTCAGATATTGGAGATCGAGACTTTCATACCGCTGCTGCTGCAAAATCCGCTGGATGGTCTAAATCGATTGAAGCGCTGGATCATGATTGGCGATCATCATCAGCTGCCACCTGTCATCAAAAACATGGCCTTCCAGAAGTACTCCAATATGGAGCAGAGTCTTTTTACTCGTCTGGTGCGTCTAGGCGTGCCCACTGTTGATTTGGATGGTCAGGGTCGTGCGCGTTCCAGCATCTGTACGCTGTACAAGTGGCGCTACAAGAAACTGGCTGATCTGCAGCACATTTTTGAGCGTGACGAATATAAGAAGGCCAACGCAGGATTGGCCTACGACTATCAGCTTATCAACGTGGAAGACTTCAAGGGCGTGGGCGAATCTGAGCCCAATCCGTACTTCTATCAGGTAAACGCCGTTTTTTCTTTTTTTTGGTTTTTAATATAATTCGAAAATACATTTCTCTATCAGAACCTCGCCGAGGCAGAGTTTGTAGTTGCTCTGTACATGTACATGCGTCTGTTGGACTATCCTGCTGCCAAGATATCAATTCTGACCACTTACAATGGCCAGAAGCATCTCATACGCGATGTTATTAATGCACGTTGCGGCAACAATCCGCTCATTGGCTGGCCGCATAAGATCACCACTGTGGACAAGTATCAGGGCCAACAGAATGACTATATACTCATCTCTCTGGTGCGCACCAAAGCTGTGGGTCATTTGCGAGATGTGCGCCGTTTAGTTGTGGCTATGAGTCGTGCCCGTCTCGGACTGTACATCTTTGGACGCGTGTCGTTGTTCAAGAACTGCTTGGAATTGCAGCAGACGTTTAAATTAGTAAGTTAAGCTATTTAAATAATCGTTTTCATTCAAACTAATCGCTCAAAATCTTGCAGCTAATGCAGCGCCCACTGAATCTCCGGCTTGTGCCATCAGATGCATATCCAACTGAGCGTCTGACCAGCAACCCAGCCTCTGACAGTATAAGTAAAACCGTTGAAAATATGACAGAGATGACACAATTTGTCTATGAATTATACATGAGTAAAATGGAACAGTTAAAGGACACCCTGCCCACTGAGGAAGAGCTGCACGCTCTGCGCAGTCAATTGCCGACCGAAGATGATGATGATGAGAATGACAATGTTGTCGCAACTGAGTCCACCGATGAGCCGCCTCAGAAGCGAGCAGCAAAGGAAACTAAATCAAAAAAGACGCCGGAAGCCTTTAAGCCAACGCTTATACTAAACGAGATTAATGTGGATGAGCCCGAGATGGAGCAGCAGCCAGAACAGCAGACTGCAGCAGAAGCTGAAACTGAATCAGTTGCCGAGAACCCGACTCAGCAGGCAGCCACAGAGAACACTACGGCTGATGAGTCTTAGCTGTTGCTCAGTCCTTTTAATTCCAATAATTTCTAACAATTCATTTAAATCAATAAATACAAACAACGACACAATCAGCGACAGTCTACTTCTTCGGTGCCGTAATGCCCTCCAGCTGTGCCTTGAGCTGTGCATTGGTCTTCTTCAGGAATGTAATCTCCTCAGTGAACTTCTTCTCCTCAGAGGCGCGTAGTTCGGCATTGCGACGCTCGGCCTGCTCTTGCTTCATTTTCATATCAGCAATGATTTCTTCGAGTGCCTCTTTATCCGACTCCAAAGTTTTTACGCGATCGCGTAACATTTCCTTCTCCTCATGGGCCTGCAAAGCCTTACGCATCCCAAATGCCACCGAGCTGCAGTACAATGTCTCATAGGCCTCCATGGACATGGCGATTTCGTCGCGAATGCGCAGCAAAAGCAAGCCGCGCTCCGAGCAATTGATTGTCACTTGGCGTATAATCTCATCTGTAATAAAACACCAATTGGAAAATGTTTGGTACTCCTACACAAAGCGGAGGCTCACCAAAACACTGCGAGTAGAGCTCACGGCGTACGGGACAAATACCCGTCTCGCGTGCCTGTGTCTGCTGCAGGCGTGTGTCCAGCATCTCCTGCAAGTTGATGACATCTTGGCGTGTGGCCGGCGTGCTGGATACAGATTGCTGCCACAATTGACCATCCTCCTCCCAACAGCGTGGCGGCAATATCGAGTTTAATATTTCCTCAGTCTCTTTCTTGGTATCTAATAGGGCACCGGCCGTTTGGGGTCGTTTCATTTCCAGCTCCGTTAGCGGAGCACCTTTCTTATCCGGATGCTTGACAACGAGCACCGGATTATTATAGCGGACCAATGTTTGAAATTGGCCCACACTAGCTATCTCCATATCATCCATATTGCTGATTTTGTATTTTTATGCTAAAAACAACTCTGAAAACGAGTATTCTATATTAATATTCGAGACTATTTTTTCTGTGTAGATGTTTTCGAAGTGATCAACAATTTTTGTTGATTTAAAATACTAAAATGCCTTCATTAAGGAAAAACCCGAAAGAGCATGTTATTGTTATAGCAACGCATAAAGCACAGCAACGGGAAAAGCTGTTGTTTACCAAGGAAACAAATATCAACAAGTAGCAGGAATTGCAGCAAGGAAATGTGTGTAAGTAAAAGCAAAGGAGTATACAAGTGGCACGTGGTCGTTCATTTATAAAAATAACCATTTTGTGTATTCATACCACTGCAGAAATTTTCCAAATGCCTCCTTAATGACTTAATGTCCCATGTCGTTCAAAAATCGATTGGCACTCAAGGATATCCAGGATTTGGGAAAACAATTCTGCCGTAATTTATTTTTATCTCGAGGGGACTTTAGCCAAGACCGTAACCACCCATTAATACATTTCAGTGTGTGTTTATTTGATTTTGTATTATATCGTATGTAAATGCAAACAAATTAGTTCTAATGAATGCAATAGAGCAGTTGAGGTGACTGCACAATAGTTTGTTGCACATATTCTATATAGTATTGCTTTTAACTAAACTTACAACTTAGGTGTATGAGCAAGCGCGGCTAATTAAACTATAAACTTAGGACTAACTGCTAATGACCAAAAAACTAACGTAATACGGATTGGAAGAGCAAATAATTTAGTCTTTATCTAAGTAGTATAACTTAGTAATACAGAATGTGTGGACGTTTAAACTAATATCGCTGCGTTATTCGTGTAAAGTAAACCAATAATTGCAACCATAACTAGTTGTATTCGAGTAACGCTTAAATTTAACGCTAGACATCATCAATGTGTTCTATACATACATATATATATATATTTATATAGAATTATATATATGCTGTCTTCATATATATTATTGTCATTATTTATGCGGGAGAAATTCCACTATGGGGCTTTTGTGTAGCTGTTTGCACAATATAATATGCTAATTTTGTATGTTTTTTGTTTTGTTTTCTCGTGATTAGTTGAGTTTTATATAATCGTTGGCATACAATATACTTCTACGCTAATTATATATATATTTATATAACGTATAAATATGCTTGTGTCTGTATATGCACTTGTATAAATATTTATTGTATATACGCAACGGTAAACTCAGGAAATGCAAAAGATCAGATCAGTTGAACTAAACCGTGTCTAAAGGTTCAATCTATATAGTTAGCTACTACATCATTTACAATTTAGCTCTATAGCTTAATGCTTAAATAAGTTCGGCTACGGCATCGTCGCCATCCCGAATGGGTGCTTGGAATGTGGAGCCCGTGAACTCATACATCTACAAAACAAGTGAAAAATGGTTTAGATTTATTACACAAGCGATTTCTTGGCGTCTACTTACGGAGGGTGCTCGATTGTTGCGTAGCGTTGCATAATCCGCAAAGTCGTTGGCATGTGGATCGACACGGGCTAGCAGCAGCCCCGTGCCGCCAACGCCACCGGCACTGGCCGCACCACCGCTGCGCATGGATATAGAACCGGCACCGCCATTACTGCCCGAGCCGGCAGTCAAACGATTCTGATTATTACGCGGCTGAATGGTGGCGTACGTATTGTCCACCGTTTGGCCATGATGCACCTGCTCCAGCGAGCTGCGGTGATCCAAATGCCCAGGCGCATCCGAGTTGGATATATGATCGGGCTCCGAGAAAACCTGCATAGTCAACTCCTGTTCCTCATATAACTTAAGTTTTCTGTGAATAAATTAAATTAACAACTGACACTTGTGAGGAGATTCAAAGTAAACGCACTGTTCGATCCAAAGCGGATTTTCGGTCGTATTCAAGTCCTCAATGATTTGCTTTTTTATTAGTGCCTCCTTGCGTCGCGTCTCCACGGGCACTGAAAGATTCCAATGCTTCAAGCAACAGCACAGCACAATGAAACTAATAACGCCAACAAACAGCACAATGACCAAGGCAACCAAACCAGCAACGGCCAGGTCGAACTCATCCTGCACAATGGCTATGTAGGCGGGTACAACGTTCTCTATAGCAAAGCCAGCATAGTAATCCTTTAACGAGAGTGTTTGTGAGTTGGGAATTTAGATAATAAGACCATTTCACAAATTTTACCTTGAGATAATCATAGTTCCTGTCAATATCCTTAAGTATTTCGTCAACTGGCGCAATTTGCTGTGTCTGCGGATCTACGGCATGGAAATACAAATCACACCAATCCATGCGAATGCGTCCAATCGAATCCAAATGGAAACGTATTTCATCTACAATAATGCGATGCTGCGTAGCGTTGCGTAGCTCGGCTATTATCTCCTCCTGCTCCTGATATACCTCCTCGGGGGGCCGTGATAGTATAACCCTAACCAGTTGTGTGCCATCAAAGACCCAAATCTGAAATATATTTATAATTCTCATTACAGGTACATATTTTGCGAATATTATTTGGCTTTACCCAGGCCAAGGTTTATATATTATATGACATATTACACGGCCCCTAACTTACATAGACTTTGGTGTTGGCCGAGCGCTGTGGCTCTTCCAATTCACGTGCCACAATCTCCAGCTCAAAACGATCCTGATTGTACTCTGCCATTATGGTATTGGCCGAGATACGGCCGTCTTGCGATATGGCAAATGGACTGGGCACAATGGAGCCCGTTGACTTCTTGGCACCGAATTTGTACAGATTTGAGGCAACAATCATATATTCGATCTTCGCATTTTTGCCTTGATCCGCATCGCTGGCATTGACCAGCGTGATGGCCGCATTCATCTTGGCATTGGCATTAACGCCCGCATAATAAACGGATTTCTCAAATACCGGTGCATTATCATTCACATCCAGCACAGTGATGGCCACCTTGGCCACTGTATTGTCCCGATTGAGGTTTTTGATTGAGAACGACGCCCGCTCCTCTTCGGATATGTGCAAATCCGCCTTAATGCTAGCCAATATATATAAGGTATATGAATCAGTCTGCTCACGATCCAGACTCTTGTTCGTATAAATATCTCCCGTGAGCTTGTCCACATAGAAGGCGCCATCCTCATTACCCAACAGCATATAGTAGAATATGTCACGATTATGTTTGCTGCGTGATGCTGCCTGAATGTGTCCAATTTTGACATCACGTCCACTGTTCTCATTGATCGATACCTTGTAGGGATTGGAGGCGTCGGGGAATTCAGGACGATTTTCATTCGCATCTACAATGCTGACAGTCAGCAGGCGCAGAGACTCAAAGGGCGGATTGCCAGCATCACGTGCAACCAATATGATATCATAGCTGTTGAACATTTTTAAAAAGTTATGATTACGATTAGAACTTATCTAAAATGATATAATAGAGTTGTTGGAATGTATGTAACAAATAAAAGAAGACATTCTCTGTGCAATAACAACAGAAATGGGTGTCTGTCTGCATATAATCAAGTTAATCAAAGGCGTGAGGGGGTTATAAGTGCGACTACTTGTTGTGTGAACTTACTTTGCGCGATTCTTGCGATTGAGCTGCTGCCTGGAGCGTAACTCGCCGGTGTTCTCATCAATTTTGAACTCCGTCGTCTGCTGCACGTTTTGACTGTTGACCTGGAGATGATAGCTAACCTTGCCAGTGCCATCGGTGTCATTGTCCAGCGCCTTCACTGTCAGCAGTAAATAATCTGCTTGCACAATATCGCCAGGTATTTCAATTGTGGCGTTTGACAAAGCAGGAATCATAAACTCGGGACGATGACGGTTAACGCTCAAAACATTTATAATTGCCTTTGCATTGGCCTCCATGGTGCCGGATCCTTGGGTGTCACGTGCCGAGATTAGCAGCTCATAGACACCATGCTTGCCAGACAGACTTTGAGCTGGATATATAATACCCGACTGTGCGTCCAGCTTGAACAGTGCCAGATCATTGCCAGCCGTTATAACATAGCGCACATCCCCGAATAGACCCTCATCGAGATCGGTAGCCTGCACCTGCAGGAGTGCAGCCGGTGGCTGATACGCTGCATTCTCCGACACGGTCGAGTTGTACACAGGACGCGTAAATACGGGTGCATTATCATTAACGTCCAAAATGTTTATGTGAATCTGGAGTAGGGAGTGAAACAAAAGTTAAATATCAATATATATATTTAAATATATACATATCCATTAATCCACAATTATACAATTATTTGTAACCCTTTTATATAAAAAATGCAATTTTAAATTTATTTAATTCAATACATAGATCTTAGAAGTCTATCGGTTATTTTGGTATTCGAAGAGCTTCAAAAATCCAAGTGCTTAAGAGAAGAAATCAAAGAATATATGTATATGTATAAATATATACATTTATATCTCTTTTTCAATTTATAAGTTCTTCACTTACCGTAGCCGTCGCTGACTTTTGTACTGTGGCCGGTGCCTTATCCTGTGCCACGACGGACAGCGTGAGTTCTTTGAGCTGCTCACGATCCAAAATGGATGCATTTGCGACCATTACGTTGCCCGTGTAAGCATCGATGCTAAAGTATTTATTGTTCTCGCCGATTAGCGTGTAGGTCAGTTCGCCAAAGGCGCCCACATCGCCATCATGGGCCTCCACTTTGCCAGCGACTGTGCCACGGGGTGAGTTCTCCGTGATATTGAAGTAGTACTCGGATTGGGTGAAGTGCGGTTCGTTGTCATTCAGGTTGATGATGTCTACGACAATGTCCGCTGTCGCTGTCAGTGCTGGCACACCTGTATCACTGACAGTGGCCATGAACTTTACTTCCTTGACGGCCTCGTAGTCCAGGCGAGCAGTCGTATAGATGACGCCAGTAGTGTGATTGATGGCAAAGTAATCGTTGGCCGTTATGTTGAATTCACCAATGCTGGAGTCCTCATCGCTGGCCTGAAGGGTGGTTAACAAAGTGCCAACTGGCTGCTCCTCGACCATTTGAAGTTTCATCAATGGCTGCGCAGGGCTCCAGGGTGCATTAAATCTCTGTGAGTACGTAAAGAGATGGGGTGCGGAGAACATGTAGCTTATGAGATTTGAGTCAGATACTATTTGAAAATTTGGGTGCTCAAAATGTTGAAGGAAATGTTGTTTGGCAAGCTGCAACTTATCTCAATAAACATAATTGGCATATTGTTTAAGGCGTCTGCATTGAATGTTGTTCGATTGCATTCGGAATTACGTGAGGTCAGAGGACTAGTCGAGGCAGCAAAGCTGGAGAGTTGGATACATGAGTGGTTCATACTCCTTATATCTGGATTAATCCTATTGCGCTTTTTATCCTGTTTTCTTGGTCTTGTCGCAAATATCGTTGCAATGTAAGTGAAACAATGGAAGTGGTCATCTTTAAATTTATACAGATATGATTGTCGATTGGCTTATGACTCAAATAGTCAATTATTTCTTATCAGCTTTTCATCATTAGTTCAGTAACAAGTCTACACAATATTAGTCTTGCCTGTACTGTACAAAATATCTTCGGCACTTCGAAGAACCGCTCATTTTTAAAAATAATTTTCTGCCTTTCCTGAACGCAGCTATCCAATTCTTACAAACTCACAAGCGGACTTGCTACGACCCACAATTATAGTGCAGATCTTTGATAATGTGGTGTTGAACATTTGTGAGATAGTCTTGGGATATGGCTGTTTCAAGTATCTATATTCTGAATCCTTTTCTATTTTTGTAATATTTTTGGCAAAGTATATTTTTAAAAGCACCTGCTGCTTATTGGTGCTGTAAGTATCAAGTGAAGGTGTGGCTTAAATTTGTCTGATACTGGTTAGGGCAAAAAAAAAACAATGGGAAATAATAGTCTTTAAATAAGAAGTTAGAAAAGCAATATCAAAAGCATTTTTTATACCAAGTTTGAAAAAATACCCTCAGTATCAGATCATCTAGCCAACCATTCCAAAAGACCAAAATCAAAACGTTTCGCTCTCTTCACAGCAATCTTTACTCGATAAAGCATCATCAGTTGGAAATGAGTGTGACGCACGCCGAGAATGGAGCGAGCCTTGACCGCGATAGTAGCAATGAATTTGAAATAGACAGTCAACGCTTATGGCCAATGGGCTGATAATAAAACGAGTGGTGGAATTAAACTCACCGGTGGTATTTTATTCACATCGATGATCTGTATGATGAGCAGGCCGCGTCCCTGCTGCACATTGGGCGCAGTGCTGTCCGTTACGAGCACATTGATGCGCATAACGGCAAAAAGATTGCGATCCAGTTGCCGGTTGACTCTCACTTTGCCACTTCGATCGATTGCAAAGTACTCCTTGAACTTTTCACTGTGGGGCAGCTCCTTGCCCTCCTTGTCAATGGCCGTGATGTCATCGGTGGCGGCAAACTCGAGCGCATTATGCGTAGCCACATCGGGATCGAGGGCAATCAGAGTATAGACTAGATGGCCAGTGGGTGCATCTGCACGCACCTCCGCATGCTGTGTGGCGGGCACAAAGTAGGGATCCTTATCATTGCTGTTCTGTACACTGATTGTCAGCGTGGCGGTTCCCGTGAGACTGGGCGTGCCTTGATCGGCGGCCTGCACCTGCAGATGATACGTGTTGCGTCTGTCATAGTCAAGCTTGCGGGAGACAAACACCTCCCCTGTGCGCTCATCAATGCCAAAGTCATCGAAGCTACCCTGCTGGATACGATACCGTAGCTCTGCATTTTTGCCCGTATCCAAATCGGTAGCCTGCAGCTTCTCCACACTGGTGCCAATTTCCGAGTTCTCCTCGACGACAGCGCTGTAAGTATGCTGCAGGAAATTGGGTACATGATTGTTGACATCGCGCACTGTGATGTTAACGCCACAGTTAGCCGTAAACAATCCATCATTGGCCTCAACGACAAAGATGAGCTGCTCGCTCTTTAGATTTGTCACATCCAGACTGGCGTTGGGCCGGATGCTGATCTGGCCGCTCAGCTTGTCAATGTCAAAGATGCTCTCAATCTGTGGCGAGCCAATAATCCGATAGCTAATGCTTGACATTGTGTCCGCATCGCGTGCCTTCACCACCAATGGGGAATCAAACACCAAGGCACCCTCATCCACGCTGGCCCGATAAAGGGGACTCTCACAGACGGGCGGCGAATCATTGGCGTCACTCACCGAAATGCGTAGGGAGACCACTGAGGTCTGACCTTGTCCATTGTCGTCGGTCGCCTGCATAGCAATCAAAGAAAATAGTGAACATATTGATGGGTTATACACTAGTGGGTAAATACACTAATTTAAGCTTATAGATAAACTGAGATATTGTTGGAAAACTCACATCATATTTTCAAAGTTTATATGTGAAATAATTGAATTATTTAATTTTAGAACATTCAAAAAAAAAAATTATGTATTTCTGCATAGAATAATTTGTAGAGCAGCATTATAACTTTTTATTTATACAGTTTCCTTTTGAGAAAAAATAGCAACAAATAGTTTTTTTTTAAATTTATACCTTCCAATTTATATATTATTTCAAAAATATATTGAAATTTTTGTGAATAATTTGTCTTTTTTGTAACTTTTTAAGTGACACTTTTAACATGGTTTAAATTAACACATTACGAACGATTGCTATTTTCCAAGTATGTACATAGTTGTTCATATAAACTTTAATCAATAAAGTGTCTAAAGACGAATTGCCTATGCCTGTGAATGGATCACATTGCTTGTCAACAGTCTTCCACAATCACTCACACACACACCCACTCACACTCACCTTGTATGACAAGAAATACGTGGTCTCCGTTTCATAGTCAAGACACGTCGGCGTCGCCTTGCTGCTGGCGTCTTTGTCGTCATTAGGAACTGCCGTTGCCGTTGCTGTTGTTGTTGCTGCTGCCTCGGATTGCAGCGGCGCCTGCGTGATTAACGTATACTGCACGGTGGGCTCTGTGTTAATCTGACGCTGGTCGACGATGTGGTCCGCCTCCATGTAGAGCATTTCGAGTGCGTGACCATCGCCGCCAGCATTCTCATGGAGGTCACGTCGCTGGCGCCTGTTGCTCAGACGCTGACAATCGCCGAGGGTAATGACGCCCGTTTGTTCGTTGACATGGAAGAGCTCAGCACCGGTGCCGGATAGGCTGTAACGTATGCCGGCATCACCAAAGCTGCCCGAGTCCACATCCTTGGCGGTAATCGTTGTGATGTACTGACCGGGCAATGCTGCCTCCGAGACGGTGGCCGAGTAGCTCTCCTGCTCGAAGCTTGGTTTGTTGTCATTGGCATCCAGCACGCTCACCGTTATTGTTGCTGTAGAGGAGAGCTTCGGATTCGTGTCCGTTTCCTCGGCAATCACCAGAACTATGAATTTACGCTGATTTGGGTTTTCGTAATCCAAAGTGCCGTTGGCAACGCGAATATTGACCTGAGAGTAGCCGGTGACCAGCTTGGGTTCCACATCAAACACGCCCGACACATCCTCCAACCTCAGCGCAAACTTCGAGTTGACACCCACATCAGCATCGCTCACACTCATGTCCAGCGCCAGTGGCGTGCCCACTGGCGTGTTTTCCAGCAGCGACACCTCATACTCCTTCTTATTGAATGTGGGTGGCGAGTCATTCACATCGCGTATGGTGACTGTAGCTCTGGCCGTCGCACTGGTCATTGGATCATCACTGGGCACACCATTCACCAGTTCGCGAGCGCGTATCAGCAGAGGAATTAGACCCGTGGAATCAGTCAGCGCCTCACGGTCCAATGGCTTGGCCGTACGCAGTTCGCCGCTGTGCGAGTCCAACAGGAAGTAATCGTTGGGATCTAAATGGAAGTGAGGATGATAAATAAGTGTGTAATTTAGTGTTTAGTAATGCTTGTTCGGATAAGTATGATTTATCATTCGATCATGAAACAAAAATGGGAATATGGGTGTATCTGCATTTTACTATCTATATTCTGTATGATACAGCTGTCATGGGAACTACCAAATGGGAACTAAAATTTGAGTTGCTAGTTAAATCACAAAAGATGTTGTGAAGCTAAGCTCAGATGTTATAATTTCTATATGATTCTTAATAAGGCATCCTTAACGCCTTAACATAAAATTGCTTTTTGTTTGATAGGAAACTAGCTCATCATCTAAAGAAAGCATTCTGATGATTTTTTATGGATGGTACTTACTGCTTAGCAGATCGTAGACTATTTTTCGGGGTTCCCCAGTGTCACCATCACGAGCATGCACTGTCAGCACCAAAGTGTTTATGGGACTATCCTCATCGATGACAGTGGAGAGTGAGCCCTGAAATACTGGCGGCTTATCCTGCACATCCTTGACGCGAGCCTCAAAAGTTGTCTGTGTTTTGTGCACACCATCACTGGCCTCGATTTGGAAGTGGTAAATCATTCTCTGATTGTAGTTAAGGGTGTCGTTCAGCACCACGGCGGCAGTGAGGATGGTCGCCTCACGGGTCAGCAGCTGCAAGCGGAATCTGTTGAAGGTGTGCATGGTTTGAAATAAATATTTCAATTGATTCACTTATAGTCATACTTGCTGCACGCCTCAGGACTTTGCTGTTGTGGGAGACACTTCAGGTCCAAGCTGTCACCAATTGTATCGCGATCTTTCACTAAAATCTTATCGAAAATCGTAGTGCCCACAGCGGCATCCTCGTTTACGTCCGCTTCATAAGGGGTCTAGGAAAATAGGCAAAATCTATAAAAGCAATTACTAGAAATGTAGTTAATATTTCTAACTTACGTCTTGAAATTCTGGAGGATTATCATTCTCGTCGAGTATTATAAATGTAATAGGCTGTTCCACTACATTATCCTGGTCTGATTCACCATTTGGATGCACTCGATCTCTGATCGATACCAGGAATGTCAAGCTATCCGTTTCCTCGCGATCCAATGGCTTCACCAGCGTTATATTGCCAGAAACTGGATCGACGCTGAAGTGGTCCGAGCCAATCGACCCAAATGTCACATTACTCATTTCAGGATCGGAGCCTTGCAGTTGAAATACCACAGTACCCACTGGCACATTCTCATAGAGCACAATATTATTTAGGGTCTGTGTGAACACTGGCGGCGAATTCATTTCGGCTGTTTGGGGTTTTTTGGAATTTATTTAAGTGTAATTTATTTTATTTGCATAAGAGATAAGGCTTACAGTTAACTAGCTCCGACGCCAGGCAGATTATTAACAGCGTCAACGTCCACTTCATTTTATTAGCTGGAAAAGAAAGCGAATGACAACGTTTTGTTTATTTATGTTGCGTGCGAAAAACATTTAAAACAACTAAGCCAAACAGATTTGCCAGTGTGCCAAATTACAAAATGAGAAAAACAAATTCTGTTAACTTGTTTCCACTTTTGGATTTGCAGTTTGTTTTTTTTCGGTCGGCCATTTGTTGCGCAAACAAACAACAAAGATAAATTAAATTTCATGCTGAAAATTCAATTAGCTGACAACACACAAACAACAGGAAGGCGCGACTGGGTGACTATGCGTCAGGAAGGAAAGGGGGATAAGCGTACACCAAACGGCAAACGACGTCGACAACAATGGCCATAACAATATAACGATGCTGATGACAAGCAACAAAACAACTTCAACAAACAAACAAAAACAACAGCATAAGCAATATTGTTCCAAATTGTGCATTTTAACCCAAAGTCCGTGAATTCTGAAGTCAGCCAGCTGGCGTTGGTAGTCCGCTTAAAGGCGCCAACGTTTTTAATGTGTCCGGCACGTACAACCGGCGCTTTGTGCCTGCCAGGGACCTGGCTTTAAAATCATTCGACGTAACTGCCCACAGCAGGAGCCGGCATGACTCTGCTTGCTGGTGCGGCTTAAAATCTCACAAGGCAGGTGCAAAAATTACCCGCAGGGAGCACGGCCCAGGTCCTGGTCCTGAGTACAGACAGCCAATTAGTTAAGCAGAAACGTTCGACTCAAAAAAATTGCTACAGTACAGCACGCCCGTACTTTGCGTGTGTTTATTTGAAAAGACCCCACAGACCAGGCTTTTCGACACAACCACAGCCACAGAAATAGCCCAACTGCTGTGGCTCATCCATAAATAGCCTATTTAGTCGCCCGTTGTCGTTGACCATATACCGAACATTTTGAGGTTGAGCCTTAGGTGCGGGTTGTTTGGCATTTTGAGCTTTGTATATGCACTGATCTAACGATTTAACTGGACAACGTTTATTGTGTAGCTCTTAAGCCATTTGATGCTTTTTTAAATGGACACATTGAAGCGTTAAAAGGTCATATTTAGCATTATTGTTTCCAGTCAATTTACCTACATATGATCAGTATGGGATTTTCACAATACTTGATTTATCTACTTTATTTTAGTATCTAATTATTTTTTATCGACAGCTGCCTTTTTAATGGAAATACAATATTTGATTGCAATAGACATTTTATTACCTTACAAAAAATAGTCTTCTATTCAAAATATATATACATATACTAACTATTTCATTCTTCAAAAGCCTACTTAAGAGGTAATTATTAATTGTTTGACTCCAGAAAAATAAATGATAGATATTTAATAAAAATATACAAGCTTTGATGTTTGCAATATAATTTTTGTATATATATAATAAGATTATTATAATAAAGCTACTTGGTTGAGTTGACATGGGGACAACAATATACATTTCAGAATTCTGCAGATGGCTTAAAGCAAGTATCGCAATAAAAAAATTTAATTTGAAAATATGATGGCGAAAAGAAAATTGTAAACCTGTGAATGGCGTCCTGAGATAGACCAAAAGTGTTGCTTATTAGGTGCTCGTAGAAATGTTACAAGCTTAACTGCAAAGCTAAGATACCTTTAAATACTTATGTGCACTGTAGTGGACAAATTAAATGTATATTCAACTGGTTGTTGTAGTGAAACGTTTACTCGAATTTAGTTGCTTGTCGTTGCTGAATTTACGTTTATATCCTGCTAACTGTTATTTTGTGCTGACACGAATAATTTCTTGCTGTCTTAGATAATAGATAGGACAGTTCATTACAACTGTGCAATGTAATTTAGTGCTATATGAATTATGCGACCAAATGGGATTTAAATGCAGATTTCTTTGGGTTTTACACAACTGTAACGTAAGTTATTGCAATTTATTGTTTTTGTTTAATGCATATAAGTGTATGTACATATACACAATACAATTTATAATTTTTAATATGTTATGAGAACTTCGTACCGGGGAAGGAAGCATTGAAATGTCAACGTCAATTATGTGCTTGAAGAGGAAATTACTGATGGACTTGGTCTGTTTATAAATGCCAAGCATCTAATGAATGAAATTGAAATACCTGCCTATAGATTTGATCCATTTTCAAATTCTTTTACCTATTAACCTAACATCAAAGTATGCAATGGAATTTCAATAAGTGAAAACACTCAACAGAAATATGATATTTTTAAATGTCGTTTACTTCATATAAGTATTTCATGGTCCTTCCACATACGTCGATGCATTCTTTAGCATTATACCTGAATCACTTACAATTCATGTACTCAATCTAAATGCTCAAATCCATCCATCAAAATCATCAAATTTCAATCATATACATAGTAAATTGATATGGAGTGCCTATGTCTGAATTTTCCTTTTCATGTTTGTCAATACTCAAACCTGTTGACGGATATTTGCCTTCGGTTGAGATTTAAGCCCTTCGGCAGCGTGTTTTTAACAGATTTTTTATGTTTTTTTTTTCAAAGCTTTCCTCCATCTCCTTAAGTCATCATCATAAAACGCAATGTGTACCTTAAGTCAAATTTGCTTTATGCAAGGGTAAAAGGGTCGCTGAGAGGGGAGGCAGGCAATTTCATGTTCCCATTGCGCTTCGTCGCCGTTGAGTGCTCTGCAAACTTGGCGTTCATGTTTCGTAATCCTTCATGTAGATTGCCTTTCGTTTGATAGACGTGGAGCAAGAGGTGTGGGGGGTAATAATGCCAAATATAATAAATCATATTTATTTAAAATAAATTGTATTTCTTCTGTTCTTTTCCCCAGCCAAAACAGCCATCAGTTAGCCAGCCAAATCACTTGTCTTGGGTCTGCCAGTAATAATAATTGAATTATGTGCGCATCAAAAAACTTCGCTTAACCCCGAAAATTCCGCCAGTTGCGACTAGTTCCAAATCCGTTTTGCGATTTTTTCTCGGTTTTTTTTTTGGGTAGACCACAGCTAATCCTGAAGCTGAAGAGACTTGCAACTTGCAAGCTAAATGTTGACTCACTAATAACTTTCTAGCTTCTCTTTCTTGCTCCATTTGTCTCTCCTCCATTCTCTGTAGCTCTGTGTCGCAGACTGCTGTTGTGTGCCGCCAGAGGCAACATAATAAAAATGTCAAACTCCTTATGCTGTCGTTTGTAATACATCTTAGTCAAAATATGTTCTTTATGCTTCCAGCGTCATTGCCTAGCGTATTTCCTTTTTGCCTTTTTTTGAACAGAACGATGTCTAGCAGTTTTTTCTTTATTTCTCTCTTTGTTTATATCGTGCAACATTTGTAACGGGCCATGATGATGACAATGATGCTGATGATGATGATATCGTGTCGTGTCGTGTCGTATGCAAGTTCACAAAGTGCTCCACTTAAATATGCTATGTAAATCACCTGTGCGAGCTACGGCCCTACACCAATTCCTCATCCAAGCACCTCCCCACCATGTGACCACCCCTCCCACTGTCTTTGCCATTTTTGCATGTCAGTGCTGACATTTTCTTTAAGTCGTGCCGTTCGTTCGCGACCCGAGGCTGCTTCCCACAGTCACCAGATTCTATTTAAACGGCATTATCTTTAGTCGCCGCCTTATCTTATCTACTCTTGCTTTCTTGCCACACCCCATGGCTGTATATAATAACAGCAACCATGGCTTTCTAATGGGAGTTTTGACTTGTAAGTCCATGAATCGCTACGCAAATAGCACTAGGAAAACAATCAGTCTTTCTTAGAAAACACAAAACAAAAAAACCACAGTAAAAAAGAAACCTAAACTTATTTAAAAAAATACCCTAGATAACAAAGTATTTTTTTTAAACTCAGAATTGTGAAGTGTTTATTCTTTTCCAGAACAGTATTTAATATAGGGAACAGAACAGTATTTAATTGATGTGCTAACGTGAAATATATAAAATCTGTCTAGCTTAAGAATACTTATGCGCAATACTAACATTTTTTTTTGTAAATGGTTTGAAAATTTTGTTGTTGTATTTTTTATAATATTAAACTTGTTTTGTATTTATTTATTTTTGCAATTTATATTTTCAGCTATCCAGGATATTTTAGACGTTGTTCATTTGCACCACGCTCATGAATCCCATTCAAATGCCTTTTTTTATATGCGTCGTCTGTTTTATTTTTGCGACGCTTTCACTCTGCTGCCTGCCCCTGCCCCTCCTAGTGGCCCCGTTTTCCAGGGTGGCCTTTCTTAATTTATTCATAAGCCTGGTGGCAGCGGCACACATCTTGAGTGGAGGCAACATCATTACTATTACTCATATGGGGGATGGAGGCCAGCCAGCACACTCGACTTGAGCCCACACTCACACCTACCCTAACAAGCACACAAACAAGAAAACACACACGAACACACACAAATGCACACCTCTAGCTACCCTCACCTGCAACAAACGGGCAACAGCAGGCTGTGGCAACCACGTGCGTGCGGCGTCGTAATTCAACGCCGGCTGTTTGTTTAGCTCCGGCAAGCCAGTTTGAAGCAATTTCCTTGGCCTGTGCCACCTGCAGCCAACTCCAGCATGCTATCCACCCACACAGCCCGCTTCTCTTGCTGCTCCTCTCCTGCCACCGCTTTCGGCGTAGGCTCATATAATTATGCTTCGCATGTTGTGAGCCTTGTGCTCATTTCGCATTCACAGCGCTTGTGACAGTTTAACAAATTTGGAATTTAAATTGCACCATGCATTTCACTGAGCCAACGTCGTGTGGGAGGGGTGCGGGGAGGGGGAAGGATTACCCGCACCTGTTGTTATTCAAGTTTTGCATAAATCTGCGTGCGGAGCATCACACAGCGAGCGCCAATCGTTATCACAGTGACTTCATACCGAAAGTTGTCTAACAGTCGCTTACTTAATTTTCAAAATCCGCATAATTATGAGCGCTACGTGCCGCATCGGAAAAGTTGCTTTCCCCGAGGCTTAAGAAAAGCCAAAAAGCAGCGCCAGCTAAGTATTATCAA